CCCAAGGGAACACCAATTTTTTTCAGGATTATGAAAAACCAACATCAATACCGTGCTGGGAAGAAGAAAATATTATGCATCTTTTTTAGCTGGTCACTGGCAGTGGATGACATTTTTGTCTTGGGTTTATTTCACATAGCACCTCTAACCTTTAATGGAAATAAGACTTCACAGCTGCGCCAGCAACACTAGTACTGGGTCCTGGATCCACTATCATAAATGCACCATTTCCCAGTTTTGTATTCTATCTGCATTTAATCCATCTCTCCAGGAACTTGGGAAGTAGGTGTGCAGGCTTTCTTTGGGTTTTAAAGAAGTTAACCACTCTATGAAGAACTATAATGACAAGATATTAAATATATCTGTATTAATTTCCTTGCCTAGCTTTTGTCACCACTTTTGGGAGTACTGTCAGTCTTCTAAGAGGAATATAAGTCTCCATCAGACATATGTCTTCAGCTCCAAATCCTAGAGTATGTGCATGCATTGTGTGCACACCTTTCTCTTACATCTAGATTTCTTTTGTTAGTGGCTGGTCTACATAGTTGAAAAAGAAAGCAGGGAGAATGTAACAAAGCTAAGTTCAGTGTTGCTTTTGAACAGATTACTAATGTTATTTGAGATTTGGTTTTCAAAGCCAACGTGGGTATGAATATTGCAATTGCTTGTGCAATTACAGTAGAAACTTACCTTAAGAGAGGTAATTATACGCATCTTTATCAAGTCCTTATTTTTTTGTTACTTCAGACTTCCCCTTGTTGACAGATATGGCCAACCTCTTTTTCAGCCACTTGGAGGGACCTCTTGGGGTTTACCAGCTGTCCCCACTGTGAGAGATGAGCAGCAGACACTTTCATAGAGGCTGGGTGACTCCAGATGCTCCACAGTGGCAATGAGGCTTACAGCAGATTCATTGGTCCAACCAGGATCTCTGAGATGCATTAGAAAATGTTTTTCACATTGTCTCAGGAAGTTTACACAGTAATAATCCAAGTGACCCTCTAATCGGTTACCTATGCAATTAACAAGTATAATGGATAATTAGAGAATTAAGCCTAGTGAGAATGACAAATCTATTGTTGTTTTTCTTACCTAGCCAGGGTTCTGAACTAGCATTGCAGGGAAGAGAGCTTGCTAATCATTTCAAGACTGAGGGAACTCCAATTATGATTGGTAAGTGCTTGAATATTGAAGAAAGCCAGTGAAAGTTCATGGCCTCCCTGTGCTGAATTGTATTTCAATTAGAACCCGTTCAATTTACTGTACAAGAGTTAATCAAAACTGTAGATGAATTAAAAATTATGGTTTCCCCAAGGTAGCTTCAAAAATGATACAATTTAGTCTGTCTGGTATCTTTTAATTCAGTATTACTCCCAAGCTCAGTATTAAACATGGTAACAAAAGTCAATCTAAATGGTGTTTTTGTAAATGGCTGTTAAATCATAACTTGAGAGCTGACTTCTGCTCTCTAGAGGAACAGAAGATCATACAGTTCCCCAAAACTTCCCCTCACAGAAGCGTAGTGTTTCTCTTGCTTGGAAGAGAAGTTTTTATCCAAATTTTTTTTAAGACCAGTTTTAATAATCTGAGATGTTGTTAAGGTAAGTGCCACTCCTAAGAATACTGTAACTTTAATTGAACTATTTCCAAGCTGTGGTTTATAAAATTAGTAATATTGATATTATTATGTTCAGCTTTAATAAAATTAATTTTAGCAGTTTTTACAATCCATATTTGATACTCCACAATATAGTGTTACTTTCTCAAATTAGAGGTCCCAAAAGTCCAGGCTTTAGTATGATGATGGTTTAGATTATATATTAGAAAGAAGTGAGGGTGGTGAGGCACTGGCACAGGTTGACCAGAGAAGCTGTGGATGCCCCATCCCTGGGAGCGTTCAAGGCCGGGCTGGGTGGAGCTTTGAGCAAGCTGGTGTAGAAGATGTCCCTGCCCATGGCAGCAGGGTTAGAACTAGGAGATATTTACGGTCCCTTCCAACCCAAAGCATTTTATGATTCTATGAAATATTCTTTGTCTTTCAGCAGCCTTTTTGTCTGAATTTCAAGAATTTAGAATCCTGTATTGAAAAATCTTTTAGGCTGTAACTTATTTTTCCCTGTAATGCTCTCTTGTAGGTTGGTTTAATTTTTTTTGTTGTTGGAGGTATGGAGATTGGCTGTTTGGGGGTTGTTTTTAGTTGTGTTCTTTTGCAGATTTTGCAATTCCTGTCTGTTGTGTGGAGTCATTACTACAGTATTGCAGGGGCATAAACTTCTCATGTTACCTGAAAGAAACGTGCAAGAGTTGATCTGTGCCCATCTCATCAAAATATCCCTTTTTCCTGTTTGCAAGCTAGAGAAAGTCAGAAGTTACTACTCTGCCCCTAATATCCATTGATGTAAATTAGTAGAAAACAGCAGATAAACCTTATCCAGCAATTCTGATTTCTGTTCTAACTTTAGTCATTTTACAACCAGGAAGTTTTCCAGATTTCTTTTATACAGTTAAGTTTCTTTAAAGAAAAACTGCAAAACAGATGTTTGAAATACTCTTGACTTCATCTGGTGAAAGTTTTGAGGATTTAACCTGCCTTGCTGACTTGCAAGAAATTTGAAAAGTAAATTCTTTACTTACTACAACTAATCTTCCCTAGTTGCAGTAAAGATATGTTATTTAATAATGTGTAGAATCTTATGTAGGTCAGCTTCAGAATCATCTTGATAACTAAGCTAATCTGTTAGTAGAAAGTGTTGATGTATTTTTATTTAAGCCTTGCCCATTTGCCAATCTCAGTAAAATAAACGTAGCAATTTGTGTTTCTCCTGTTTTAGGTGGAGGTGTTTTAGCTCACACGATATTAGGAGTGGCTTGGAATGAGATTACAGGGCAAATAAAATATTTGATTCTAGACCCACATTACACCGGAGGAGAAGATCTGCATGCTGTTTTGGAAAAGGTGAGGCTTCATGCCTATATATACACACATATTTATGTACATACATAGATCAGGTAACGTACGGCCAAATACGAATTAGCCATTATACGGCTTCTCGGTTCCTTATGGAGGAAGTGCTGATCCCAGTTAACCTGCATACTACTGTATGGTACTTATTGGCAGTTTCTGAAACTTAGTGTCTTTGGAGATGTATCAGATCAGCAACTGTTCTTCATTTTATCTGAAGTAACCCATCTCCCTCTTCTACTCTGTAGTGTATACAATAACTGTGTTTGGTATTTTGAATGAAACAGAAAAATCTGTTCAGCCTGTAAAATGCTGAAAATGAAGCAGAGAAGATAGCAATTTATTTTAAATTTTAAAAATTATTTTAAAAATCCAACACTAAGCATTCTCAGATCAGGCCTTGAACTATGTTTAAAGGTCAGGTACTGAACTGTTTTAAAAATGTGGGAGAACTGTAAAGAAAAAACCTCCGAAGAGCTAAAGGGTATGTAATATTATTTCCACATTTAAAGCCACTAGAAGGGATGACACAGCGCATTACAAAACAGTAAATGTAGTGTCAGAAATGTAAACTGTGAAAAGTGGATAAAATCTCCTGTAGGTGTTACATAATCAATTTCTTCTCTGTTCTTCATATTAAGTTGCAAATAGTAACTTTTATTTTGAATCTCTGATATCCATGTGTGGGGCCCAACAGAAAAAGCTGTTTTAAGAAACATTCTGCTGGACTGTAATTATCAAAGCTTGACATGAAAACAGAAGCAGTTTCCAAAGAATGTGTAGGACCAAAGGCTGTTACAGCTACAGTTGTTAAGAATGGTCCAGGAGGATAGAATACATGCAGAACCTACTTTCCTCATCAAAAGTGGATGGGGAGGAACTGAGGTGGAGTGGACTGGCATTCTGTAGCTGTTTTCTTCAAAAACATCTCCAATAATTCTGTGGTACTCTGCAAACTTAAGAGCTTTGTTAGACTGCTTTTTTTTCTGCAGAATCAGGATGAACAGCACAGTTTCTGATATTGAAAGCTCTGCTTGGGGCTGAAATATCAGCTATTACCAAAGAAGGCAAGGATTCAGGATGAGAAATGGGAACCGCAAGAATGATTTTAGAATAATACTAATCTCTCTGTAGCAGCAGAAGAGGTAGCGGGAAGGGGGCATGGAGTGCAGGAGATGATACTTCTAGGAACTAAGCTGGGGAGATAGGAACAGGGAGAGAGAGTCTGCTATAAATTTTCCATTCATGTGTTTCCAGGCATGTAGGCAACTTTCTGAAAATTGTCATTGCATTCCATAGGTATCTGAAAAGAATTCATACAGCTTAGTAAAATGATTAGTAAAATAAATCCAATAGAAGTAGGTAAGAATACTAGAATTCATAGTAGATTTAAAAGCTATCTTGCTTTTCTTGGACAGGGCTGCTGTGGATGGAAGGGCCCGGAGTTTTGGAACAAGGACGCCTATTATAATCTGTGCCTACCTCAACGACCAAAAGCTATTTAAATTCCTCTCTTGTGCTGGAACATGCCACGCCAGACTACTAGCTGATCTAGATAAAACTGTCCTGTTATTTATCAAAAGAATGCTTTAAGTCAATCAAAATTCAGTTGAAATAGAAACGTTGCTGGCGTAATTTAAATTAAGAAACTTTTTTTTTAAATGAAACCTCTAGAAATAAGAGTTATCTGCTGTGAACTGCATTCCTTACAAATGCATTTATTAGGCAACTAATATCTGTTCTTTTCCCTAAGGCAACTTTATGTTTATATAGCATTTTTTGCCACGCTAAAATCTTTACAGATTAAATGCCCAATCCTTTTATTTTATGGATTTCTTTCATGACGAAAAGATGAACTGTCCCCTGCCTTTCAGATTCTACACAGCCAGCTGTCTTGTGCACTGTGAATCTGTTCAAAGGCATCGTTTGCTGCTGGTACTGTCAATGACGGCCTTTTGGGAGTGGGAAAAAAGTGGCTATATATTGAATTTTATGAATTCTGCTCTCATATTTACACAGAAAAAAAAAATCAAGATAATTAATTGTCACATGCTCATTTATTTATAGCTGTATGAATACAACTATTGGGGGGGGAACCACAACATTCTTCTGTAAGAAGTAACAATAAACAAGCTTTCCTCCTTCTCAGAAGGAGACAATGTCCCAGCATACACATCTGGCTGCTCAATGTATCATCCAGTCATGTTTCTTCAGACTTTGGATTCCCCATATTTCATGTTGGGATTACAGGCTGTTTCTTCTGGCAGCAAGGAAACAAGATCTGTCATCTGAATAAACAACAATAAGTCTGTAGCTTCTACATCAGTACAAGTAAGAGTACCTATTTTTTTCCCCTTTGTTAAAGTAGTCGTTCCACTGGCATTCCCCATGCACTGTCCGTTTCCAAGAAGACCATAACCTTAACTACCTATGCAAGTTCATCCTTACTAGCAGGCTTCTATATCTAACTGCTGTGTGTCTAAAACCATTTCCTTGGACGCTAAAAACATTTAGAAAAATATTCTGAATTGTATTAAACTTAACTGTGTTACACACCATCTGATCTTCTCCTCTTCCTGCTTATGGATCTGCTGGTTTTACTTTCTTGTTTCTGTGCAGTTGGATCCTCTCTCAGCAAGCCATGTTTGTCACTTAGCAAGTAGCCACACCGTCCTTTCAGTTTCATTGTCTGAGTGTGCTGAATTGTGGTGAGGAACTTGGCACATTCCAGAAAGCCATAAGCAAGTGCAAGATCTGCTGCTGTCTGTCCACTGTTGTTGCACAAGCTGAAACACAGAGTTAACAATAACCAATTACACTGGCATATATATTATGAGCAACCACTGATTAAGGGGTATATTTAGACAGATGTATAAAAATAACTACAGAAAATCAATATCAAGAAGGTTTGTCAAGGATAGCATGGGGCTCATACAGAGGGCTGGCATTAAATACAACAATAATTATTTTAAAATAAATTTGTCATCAGACTAGGATTGGCTTCTCATATCAGAAAGGCAAGAAGAAGATGAGCACAGCATTGGAATGGAAAACTAACAACGAGAGATTATGATCAGGAATATTCTCTCAGCAGTTATTACAGAGGTATTTAACATATAACAAAATAACAGGATATGGTCCATGCTACTTTGGTGCTTATCTCAGTTTTTAATACTCTTATGCTGTAGTCATGCTATATTTGCAGCCTTAGCATGCACATCATGAACAAGCAGAAGTACTGTGTAAAATACACATCCTTTGATGCTGTTACTGAAATTAATAAATGTAACTCAACTTACTCAATTTTGGCATCACCAGCAACAAGGAGAGCGAGACATTCCAAACTTCCAGCTTTTGCTGCTTTATGAATTGGGGCTTCTCCAAGGCAATCCTAAAAACACAATTTACATATAGCAGTCATTTGAAGAAGGGGAATGGGATAAACCTATCTTGTTCCTCAAAATGACTGTGTATATCAGCCTGTTGAGAGCGAGCGTACTTGATAACTGCCATTAAATGTTTAGTGTATTCGTCACCACAAAGTAAAAACGCTGTCCCCTGCAATACTAATTTTTTAACCTTTGCCTTCTAAAAGATAATTTACACAGAATACACTCTGTACACTGATTAACAGCATTTTTGAGCATCATTCAGGGATTGCTGTGACCAACAGCTTTCTACCAGCTCAGAGGTATAAGTAAATTAAACTTTGCAGCTAGAATCCTTATGTGTACTGGAAGTACAAAGGACAAAATTTTGGAGGAAAAATAAATAATCATTTGTGTAAAAGAATTAAGTTCTCTAGAAATCTGCATGCAGCACTGTGTGAAAATTGCATTATTATAGCAAATGAAATTGCTAACACAATATAGACAGGATTTCTGGTTCATGCTAGAGCTTACTCTAAAATAAGTGACCCTAGGTACCTCATGCCATACAACTGTTTATAAAACCTCTCTTAGATAAAAAGTATGTAAATAATATTAACTGGAATTACTAACATACCAGATTAGAAGTGGAAGAAATGAAACTTATGTATTTTTACCTGTTGGTTCAAATTTGCTCCTGTCTGTAGTTGCCAAAGTAGGAAAAAAGCTTCACCACCACAAGCAGCCAAGTGAGCTGGAGACTGACCAAAGGCATCTGCAGGTGCGTTCACACCGGTTCCTGCCTCAAACAGATTGCTGAAACTACCAGACTGAAATAAACAATAAATCAAAAGACAAAGAAAAAAAGGAAAAGAAAAGAATGTTACTGCCAGTTTAAGCCACAGCAGATCTAAGCACACTGCATTATGGCAGGAAACATCCCCCTCGCAAATCGTCGGACCTTCGTGTTCCTTGAAACTTCCCTTTAAAAAAAAAATAAACAGCTCCAAGCATGACTTTTTTGGCTTTTAATCTCATAATCGGAAATACCGATCGACGGCGGCAGCGCCCCAACATTCCGAACAGTTCCAGGTAAAGTACACTTCACCCTGTTCCGTGTCTGGGCTCCCGGTAAGACAAAGGAACAGACCCACCTTCCCCAAACCTCACCTCTAAACTGCAGTCCAGCATCAACATCGCCTCCCTTTGCTGAGCGCGGCGGGCTGGCGGGGCTGTGGCGGCTCCGCGGCTTTCGGAGCTCCGGGGCTGTGGCGGCTCCGGGGCTGTGGCCGCCCACCCCCCTCACCAGCCGCGCGCGCAGGCAGCTCCGGCCGCAGCCCCCGCCCCCCGCGGCCGCGTCACGTAGGCAGCGGCAGCGCCCGCCCGGCCGCCATTGGCCGCCCCGGGGGCGCCGCGGGGCCGGGGCGGGCTGCCGGTGGCTGTGCGGGCAGCGGCGGGGGCGGCCATGTGGCGCGGGGCGGCTCGGCACGTCCCGCACACACTCGCAGCCGCGGGAGCGCCGTCCCGCCCGCCATCCCACCGGTGTCCGCCATCCCACCGGTGTCCGCCATCCCGCCGCTGCCACTCCCGAGGAGCCTGACACCGGCTGCGGCACTGGTCGGGAGCGGGGGTCTCCGGAAACCCCTCCTGCCGCTGGCAGCCGGGAGCCCACCGAACCATGTACGCGTCATACTGGTTTGCTTGGTTTTGCTGTTGCTAAGCACAGCCTCCTGTGAGGTTCTGCCATCTTACCTTGGGGTACTGCTGGATTGGGAAGGCAAAACCAAGGCAGACTTGGATCTAGGAAAGAAAGCAATAGAGGATTAATTTAGAATTTCCCCCGAAAAAAGTTGAAGTCAGTATAAAGAAATCCCCTACGCAAGCTCTGCCACTAGGCCAGGGAGACTGACCAGACCTGCCACGGTCTATGAAACCCCAGGCTCCCTTTCAGTGTACACACAGCAAGTTCATCACCAGTCTCAGCAGGACTAGAACTGGTGATGGTGGAGGTGGACGCAGCTACCTGTTACATCTCTGCTCAAAACACATTTGCAAGAAGCACAGATTTGATTGTCACTGACCTGAGTTCAAAATGTCCTAGACAGGGTCAGACCACGTGAGCCAAGGTCGCAAACAGGCTTTCCACCCATAGACTTGTCTGTGCTGGAAACCAGAACCTGCCACAGCCATACTCAAAGGCTGTTTCCATCAAAAAGAAGTGCTTGGAATCTGTTTTGACCATGGTGCAGTGGCATTTCATGGTGCAACCTGCCTTCCCCTCACAGAGCTGTAGTACTCGGTGCCCATGGCAGCCAGGAAAGGCAAGGGTGGAAGGGCTTAATGCCTCTGCGCAGAGAAACCACAGTCGCCATCAGTGACTGCTTTGAGTTTCCAAAAACAGTTGCATAACTTCATTTTGCATGGACAGCCTTTGCAATGATTATGTTTGAAAGCAACTGCCCTTCCTTTCCATGCTGTAAAATCCAATTTGACAGAAGATTCAGTTAGTACTAATCATGCTTCACAATTAAAAGACTGAAGACCAGAGCATACTAACCCAGTGTCCAAAGGTAAACGATTCTGTTTCCTTAACACTATTTTTTTTTTTTACTTTTTAATACCCTAAAATGTTTTTTATAAAATTTAAAATAACTAAAAAAAAAAAAAAAAGTAATGTATTAAAAAAATATTATTTATTGCATGGTTTTGATAAACAGAATTAGAGGAAAAGAAGCCTAACAGGCTTCTACCCTTTAGGGTACATGTAGTTCTGAAATGAATGCAGAAACGTGATGACAATTACCTCTTGTTTTGCCTTTGGAAAAGAAAATATAAATTACTTAAGTAGTGGAACATAAGCATATACAGTATCACTTTTAAAGGTGCAGAATTCAGGTAGATAGGCGACGTATCAATTCAGCAGAATTATTTCAGTACTGACAGATTTTACCTCTCCTTTCATATGGAAAGAAATACACCTGTGTAATTACAAAATGTTGTGGGATTTTTTTCCCCTGAACAGCTAGCCAAGAAAATTAGTGAACAAACAAAGAAAATCCCTACACTTCTAACTATTCATTGTTAGGGAATAATATGCCTCTGCACAGATGCCCAAAATCCACAGTAATTTTTTATGCAATTACAAAGACTCTTCTGAAAACACACATATCCAGAATTAGTTTAAGACTAAATAGTCTTGGATTGCCCAAGAGGTTTGGACTTTTTTTTTTTTTTAAGATCTTTCCTCCCCTACATTACCTCCACAATTTAGAGGCTTCAAGCTGCACCCAAAGAATCCTATCTTTCCAGCCTAACCACCTACACAAACTTTTTTATCCAGTCAGGCACAATTCTCTTCAAATTGCTGCTATTAATTAGTTCTTGAGCTTCAGGTCACATTTTGCACACTGCATTAGTGCCTACAGAACTCTTCTGCCTCTGAATAACTGGTATGTGTATTGATTATAAACACAGAAGCAACAATTCTCATCTATTTTGTATAGCCCAATCCAAGTGCCACTTAAGAACAAGACTTCCTGGCTACAGGAAAAAAACTTGCTAAAAATTCCTCTGCACTTTGTATCTCAAACCACACATCTGGCTCAGGTATCAAGTAAATGAAGTTGGAAAAATCGGTTCTAATGAATGTATGTAAGCATTGGATAAACCAAGGTGTACTGGTGAATCTCAAACCCTTCAGCATTACAAGCAGCTGCGCAGCTCAATGTTAATTATTTTTGCTGAAGGGCAGTGTTGCTTTCACAAACTGTTCTTCACTCTGCCTGTTAAATCAAGTAATTTGTTGGTGCTTTAAAAGAAAAAGTTTGTTTTCCTGTAGGTCTCTTAGGCTGTATCATATACGTAAAATTAATCAGGATGAATTTTAGGTATTTTTTGGTACTTAAAGTCAGTTGGGACTGTTGGAAAATGTGATGCAGAGCCTACAGGTTTAACCACACAAATCTGGAAGCATCACTCTCCTGTTTTGACTGTTATCTCTGTCCCTGTTGCTATAGAAACAGATTGCACTGCCAAAAATGGAAGAATGATAATCATCTGGAAAAAAAAAGGGAAAAAAAAAAAAAGATGGGAAAGCAGCTAAAGATTATTTTGAAAGCACTCTTGCAACATTTTGGTATTATTTCCCTTTCTTTAAGAGAGGCAGCCAGAAGTGATCAACAGAAGTGAAAGCAACGCCTTACATTTCAGGAGAAATAGCGTCAAACAGCATTTTCCCTCAATTATCCTTTTACGTTTTTTAGTATCTATATAGGGAAAACAAAGTACATTACAACAGTTTCTGATCCCTGGAAGTGCTGAAGTCCCGTTTGCTAGACTGAAGTTTCGTGTCCTGGTGCCTTTTTCACGAAATTGAATTCAGAGTTTCTGCTCCTTTTGCCTGTAGCCCCATTCTGCAGAGCAGTTTGAGCTTCTGCGTTTAATTTCGGACAGGATGGGCAGGAAGAAGGAAAGGTCCGGTGTGTGCCCAAACCGCAGCGTGTCCTGTCACTTATTCCCACGGTTTGGCATTGGACAACGGCCGGAGGTGGAGCAAAGACCAAACGGAAAGTGCCATCGTTACAGTCCCTGCTTTCCTCTTTCTGCCTCAAAGGCCGTGGGACCCCAGCCCCAGCCATGGAGCGGTGCCAGGTGCCGCCACAGGCCGGGCTGGGCCGCGGGGGGCCCCGGGTCCGCAGCGGGGGACGCTCCGGCGGCGCGGGGAGCTCGGACCCAGCGAGGGCCGCGGCGGCGCCCCTGAGACACCGTGCCCCGGCCGGGCGGCACCGGGCTCCCCCCGCCCGGCGGGATCGGCCCCAGCCCCCTTCGGGCGCGGGGCTCCCCGGAGGCTTCGACCGCCGCTGCTGGATGGCGCTGCACAGCGAGCGGCTGCCGCCGGACTGCAGCGCCCAGCCCGCCCCCGGCACGCCAGGTACCGCTCCCAGCCCGCCCCGGGGTACCAGGTACTGCTCCCACTGCTCCCAGCGCGCCCCCGCCATGCCAAGTACTGCTTCACCTTCGCCGCTTCCACCTGTTCAGGTTCGCTTTTAAGCTCTTCCAGGACAAACTTCAAGGTCACAAGTTTGTGAACAGGCTCTATTCACTGAATGCTTCCTTCAGGCTTTTAGTGAATTTTTGCTTTTTATAACACATCCCTCTCTTCTAATCTTAGTCTTTTAAAGAATGTATTAAAAAGGGGTCCCGGCCAACTTCAGACCTTAGGTGTGCTCACTGATGCTGTTCCATCTCTTTGGGGACAAAACCAAATGCGCGTCTGTTTTTAAGGAGATGACCGCATCTACGCTGCACTGTTTGCAAAACTGAAGGAGTTGCTTGTGAGGAGGGCATCAGATGGAGATCCTCCAGCACCTTTTCAGGACGGACAACGGTACTATGAACAGGTTGTGCTTTCCTTCTCTTAAGTAAATATTACAAAGTTGACAATTTTCAATACCATTTCAGTGGGAAAAGAGACATCTTAAAAAAAAACCTACAAGAGGTTCTTATGCCTGTTTGTATCCCATTAAAATCCCACCAGATTTTCCCCCTACGTTTTTTCTGCACTTTCCCCAAGCATCTAGTGATGTCTTCCAGTTCCCTCTCAGGTTTCCTTAGGACCAGATGAAAAAGAAGCAGCCTATCCTTACAGTTAACTTTCAAGCCAAGTTGTTTTTTTTGGCCAGCTGACTGGCCAAACACAATGCACTGTGTTTTCAGTTACCAGGGGTACCAGTCCCTGACCCAGACACAGTTTTTGATCATTGTTCCCCACCTAGCCACCAGTTTTGATGAAACTTGTTGAAGCATGTTGTCTTTGAGATTCCTGTCCTTGCTTGCTTCAGCTAAAATTGGTCGTCCATATCTTTGAAAGCAAATGCTCTGGGAACAGTGTAAGACTGGCTGGCAGGGGAACTTAAACCTCAGCTTCTTGTGAAAATTAGAACTTATTTCAGGAGCATGAAAAAGAATGTAGTGCAAGTACTGATTCAGGTATTTTCCAGTGTGATGTGCATGGATTCGGTACTGTTTACACTGCAGCAGTGGCACAATGTAAATCAGTCAGGGTTTGCAGCAAGAAGATAATTAACTCACTCAGGGTTTCTGCTTTCTGGGCCCTGTCCTTAATGTTTTCATTAATGAATTACCTGATTTTGGCATGATCAAGACTAACTCCACGGAGCATAAGACCTGTCTGTTTCTTGACAAGCTGGCTTGGATGTCCATGATATATATATATATATATATCCCTAAATTTATTCTTTGAGCCAGTTTTAATGTTCAGATTTTTTTAAATATATGTCTGCAGTGCCTAAAAATGGACGTGCTTATAGTACTGCACTTTTATATGTTAGAAAAAAACACTGCCTAATCAGAGCCATATGTCTCCTTCTTATAGCACTAAATTCTCAGGAAATGTAAGAATAAGTGTACCTCCAGTACTTCTTTTTCTGATATTCACAACAGCTAGTTGTGAGAAGGAACTGTCTTTTTTTTCCTCCCAAGTTCTTTAAAAAAACAAAGCCCACACAGTCATAATGGGTAGGTCCCAAGACAATCAGTGGTTTAGACAACAGCTTGGACAGTATTAACAAGGGACAATTTGTCATTGTGATGACATTTGACTTACTGTTGAACTATTGTTTGGTTTTAAGCTTTTGCAGTCTGACACTGTTTTATCAAAACATACCGAAAATTTGAAGGAAAAATATAGAGAAGAACATTTTAATTTCAATATTGTTTTTACTTAGTATGCATGCATAAAAATATTTTAGAAAGGACATAAGGCTTAGTTAACTGTTACACTGCAGTTGTTTAACAGTATTTTTAGTTTCTTCTTAATGCAGAAGCAAATACTCCCTGATTCTTTCTTAGAAATGAAAGTATCTCTGCTGCTGCAGTTGATGCCTTCGTAAGAAATGTGGGGCAGACAGATGGGTCCGTAAAAGTCTTAGACATCTGAGTTTATTAGTCTTTGTGAAACCAACCCTTAGTTGAGATGTAAAAGCAGACCTAAGTTAAGGGATGTCAGATAGATAGGGCAGGGACTCTGAATTAGATTTTATCTCCTTAAACTAAAAAGATGGTGTTTTGGACGAGGGCAGGAAAATTTTTCAGAATGTCTTTTGGTTATCCAACTTTCTTGTGGCTGCTGACTTACTCTGTTTCTGTTTTCTGCCAGTTCTATGGTTCAAATTTTTTGTTTTTCGTTCATGAGAGAAATGCTACAGGTTGAAAAATTGTAAGGCTGTATATATTGGAGAGTTAAGCTGCTGTATTAGTCTTCATTCTGTGTAGTTCGTTGTTTGATTTGTCTTTCCCAGGGGTTGTATGAAGAAGCATTAACGCAATTTAAAAAAATTGAGGATACAGATTTTCAAGCCATGTATCAGCTTGGTGTAATGTATTATGATGGACTAGGCACTGAAAAAGACCCTGTGAGTAATCTAGCTGCACACTTTTTACTTTTCTTCTAATATTAGCTGATAATTACTAAGAGCTTCTTTGTAAGCATGATTATTTAGTTTAAACAGCTTTTTGATTTAGAATTAGTTTCATTAAGTATAGATGTTTACAGAGCATCATTAAAAAGAGAGGGTTCTGGGTTGAGGAAGTTCTCAAAAATGGCTATAATAAAATAGATGTATCTGAAAAATATGGTAATTTGTATTTTAAAATGTAACTTCTAAGGGCTTGATTGTACATTGTGTAGAAGCTACATTTAAGGATTGCTATTTGTTACTTTTTAATAAGCAGTTCATATAAATGAAAACAAAGTCCGCAAAAATGGAAATCAAACAATTATATTTCAAAATGTAAAACATCTGTTCCATAAAGACTTTTTTAAAGTACTTTCTATTCTTTTAGCACAGATGCTAAAGATGATTGTGCTTCTGTCAGTGGTTGACAGTAATATTTTTAAATTAGACAAATGAAAAACTACATTTGCAAGAAGTTAAGGAATTCAAACTGAATAATTATATTACAATAATTATATTACAAAAGAATGATTTGCTACATTAAGAGTTAATTTATCAGTAAAGGTTAAAGAGTGGCATGAGGAAAGAATACAAGCAGGATGAAAGAAAGGGTAAATTACAAGAGAGGAGGCCAAAAAAAAAAATTAACCAAACAGTACATTAACAAATGGGACTCTTGTCTGGTGCTTACAGGATAGTCAGCAGAATGGAAAATATTCTGCTGGGGTTCAGAGGTGGTTCATTTGTTCTGTATGCCTGCATAATTACCACATGTATTTACTTGCAAATAAACATTTTAGCAGAGTTTCTTCCTTTTTTGTGTATTACAATATGGAAGTTGAATAACTGAGAAACCTTTTATAACGCACTGTTTCTAGTGTATTTAAACAGGGTGTCCATGCTAAATCCTAGCAGTGTAAATCTTGTTTCGAAAATACTTTTGAGGTGCAGTTGCTCATATGCAATGTTCTCCATTTGTTTATTTAAGGGTATCAGGTTTTGTCCTTTATGAATCTAAGGTATTTTAAATGAAGGGACTTGAAAGTGTACTACGTATCACTTTACCTTCTGTTAAGACTGTTTTATGATTTCAGATACATTATGCAATATGAAAAAGTTCACAGAATTCTGAAATTGGAAGCGTTGCAAGTTTAGGATGCAACATGCATTTATGTAAGCAAAATAATATTTTTTAGAAAAATTTTATCAGTGAAGAAGAGTAATATAATACCAGATGAACATTTATGAGGAAATATTTCACATTAAAAATATGTTGGGGTCAAAGATCTAGGGGCTATTAACCAAAGATCAGTTCTGCTTTGGTATGAACTATTTTCCTACCAGTATGCCTCAGCCTTTCTTCAGAGTGGAAAAATTACCTTTCTTGCAGAAGTTAGTGTGTTCTCAGATTCTTTGTTTCATCCTCTTCACAGTCTGAACATAATAACTTCAATGGCTCAATTTTAGGAAAGGGCAGTGGAATACATGAATAAAATACTCAACTCTGATTCTCCAAAAGCAAGACACCTGAAGGTTGCAGCTGCATACAATCTTGGCAGGGCGTATTATGAAGGATGTGGTGTTAAGCATTCAACCGAAGAGGCTGAAAGGTAAGGGCAGTCAGTGATTTTCCTGACAAATTATAAGCTTCTGTGTTACTTAAACTTTGTTGTCCCCATTTTCTTAGGTTGTGGCTTATTGCTGCAGACAATGGAAATCCAAAAGCAAGTGTAAAGGCCCAGAGTACTTTAGGAATGCTTTATTCTATGCCAGTTCTAAAAGATCTGAAGAAGGTAAAGTCCACTTGTACCTTTTGAAATGAGTCCAAATTAATTTTTAATTTTATGGAAATATTACAGTGATATATTTGATTCTGAAAGATGTATTTTAAGTAATTAAGCAACATTTAGCATTATCCATTTAAGCCTGTATGAACAGATGGCCAGAATCCCTCATTTTGACTCACTTGACGCTGCTAGCCAAGATTTATTTATATTTTTTTTTAGTGAGAGTATCAGGAAGAATGATAGAATGGATTAAAGTTTTGTCACCTTTGGTAACCTTCAGCGATCAAGCAGGTGTCACTGATTGACAGCTCTGACAGTAAATGGAGCAAGTTTAAAAGCCTTACAAGGATTCTGCTTTCTTTTATGTATAAGCACTTCTTACAGGATGTTTGGTATAAAAGATTTTATGGAAACAGTATACAAGGAAAGCAGCTAAAGTAAATATATACTGCAACTTTGTGTCTCATTTAGGCCTTTTTCTGGCATTCAGAAGCATGTGACAATGGAAATCTGGAATCACAGGGAGCACTTGGCATTATGTATCTCTATGGACAAGGTATACGTCAAAACACTAAAGCTGCTTTGAAGTGCTTGAGAGAAGCAGCAGAACGTGGAAACATCTATGCTCAAGGCCATCTTGTAGAATATTATTACACTAAAAAATTTTACTCAAAAGCTGCTGACCTAGCCAAAAGGTGAAGTTAATTTTGCTTTATTTTTCATTATGGTTCATGCAAGACCACATAATCCAGATTAAAATTATTAGTAAATTAATGCTCGTCTTTCAAACTCAAGAGATCTTTGAGATAATGAGTTGCAAAATCTCACCTTTAAAGATGGAATAGCCAATCACAAAATGAATACTATAAGGTTCTCAATTACTCAGTATGGTTAAAATTTTTTTCCTCTAAAGCAAAACAGCCTTGAACTAGAATCCAAAGTAGATGTCCACACACAAGCCTGCCTTTCTTGTCTCTTCAGTCCATGATCTCCTCTAGGCTCCTGCCTTCACCATTCCCTTTAAACGCCTACACTTATAGAATCCTCAGGTTGGAAGGGACCTCACAGATCACCTGGTCCAACGTTTCTTGGCAAAAGCACGGTCTAGACAAGATGGCCCAGCGCCCTGTTCAGCTGAATCTTAAAAGTGTCCAATGTTGGGAAATCTACCACTTCCCTTTACCTGCTTTTCCATTTCTGCTATGCTCTCTCTTGGTTTTGAGCAGTCTCAGAAGCTCACAGTTTAGCCAAGGGGGTCTCTTGCCCCACATACTTTCCTTACCCTTAAAGGGAATGAATGATTTTTGTGCTTCCAGGAGAGCATTCTTGAAAACCTTGTCTTAGTACTAACTCTCAGTGAGCTCAGCAGGATCCCAGATCCACATTATTGTCATCACTGCAGCCAAAGCTATCACTAACTGAGATATTACAAAGCAGATTTTCTTGGTTTGTCAGGAACAAATCCAGCAGTGCCTCATTCCTAGTTGGCGCATCTGACATTCGTACAAGGAAGCAGTCCTCTACTGCTCCATGCCAGGAACTGGATGGATGTTTTGGGAGTTGCTGTATTCTTCCGTCTAATGTCTGGGTAGTTAAAGTCACCCATAAGAACCAGGTTCTGTTACCCAAAATTTATTAAGTGACCCAAATGTTGCCTTGTTGGTCTCATTGTCTTGGTTTGGAGGTTGGTAGCAGATGCCTGATGCAAGATGCCTCTTGGAAATGACCCCCCTGATCTTGACCCAGAAACATTTGATAAGGCTTCTAAAATTGTCATAGTTCTCCTTAACACAGAGCATGATTTCTCCTCCTCCTCTTCTTCCCTTCCTGTCTTTACAAAGCAGCTTAGAGCCATCCATTGTGATGCTCCTGCCAGTGAGTTGTTCCATTACGTTTCAGTTATTCCTGATTGCATAGCTTTCTGACTGGGTGCAGAACTCCAGTTCCTCCTGTTTGTTCCCCAGGCTGTGTGCACTGTATACATACACTTGAGGTGGTTGGTCTTCTGGTTCACGTCTTAGGAGGCAACTAAAGAATATTTGTTGCTGCTCTGGTTGGCTTAATTTATTCCCCATTTGGTTGGAATGGCACAGGTGCTACCACTTTGAGTCCAAAGTGCCCCCAAGTCCTTCTCTTTAAAGCTTGCCTCACCAGGTTAGCTAAAGATTCCCTTGCCTCTTTAGCCAAGCAGATCCCATCCCTCCCTAATGGGCTGCAGTCAAAGAATGCCCTGTTGTCATAAAATCCAAAACAGTCATGACAGCACCAGCCAGAAAGCCAGAAGTTTATTTGTATTATATGTCTGGTTTTGGCCGCATCCTTCCACCTAACTGGTAAAATGGAAGAAAAGGTAACCTGGCACAAATACTTTTTGTGTACACCTCCAGACCTTTGTAGTTTTCCTTGATTCTGTGGTGTCCCTTGTGCCCACATGAGAGAGTAGCAAAGGGTCTGTGGCACCCTCTTGAAAGCTGTGGCACCCTCCCAGCAACATCTCGGACCTCAGCTCCTAGACAGCCACATACCCCTCGTGAATCCCCCTCAGGCTGGCAGATGGGAGCCTCAGTGCCCCTTCATAGAGAGTCACCCAAGCACTCCACAGTGATTTTTGTGGTATCCACTGTGAACTCCTGGTAGAGTTTCTCCTTGCAGACTTTGCTTTCGGGTATCTAGAGCATTTAAAGCTTCAGATCTGACTTTGGTTGCAATGCTGCAGGGTGGTAAAGTCCTGCTTTTGTAGATCACCAGGGTCCAAGGTGTCTCATTCTCTGTGGTGTCCGCCACAGGAGCATGATTCCGAAACCACTTATCTGTCTCAGCATTTCTAATACAAAGAACACAAGTATTCTTCCACTCTCCACCTACCCCATCTCAATATAATTTCTATCCACTGCCTCCCATCCATCATTTCCTTGCTCTGTGGCTCAGTGTGCTTTGGTCTCATTCAGGAAATGCAAGCATTGATACTGGTGGGATCCTGCAGTAAGCACTCTCAGCAGCACTGCCTGGGACTTAGAAGCAGCCGCTGCACACAGTGCCAAGTTATCACCCTTGAGCTCTTCATCAGTTGCTGCTTACGAGGATGCATACTGTACAGGCACTTTTAAGCCTGTACCACAAAACAGACATCTGCAGGCAAATGGTTTCTGATGATTATCTTCTTACCTAAAGGTACTGGTCTGAGCCCCAGTTAGGCAGCACTGACTGGCCTTTTCACAGGCAGTCACTGTGGGACTCACTGCTCTACCTACACGTTCCACAGTGGCTTGTGTATTGAAGAAATAGCGGCTTTTGTGATAGGCTGCAGTATTTAAAATAGTCTGTGTCATGTTTCTGTATCTTGAACTAGTCAGGGAGAACAAGAGCAATGTTGGTGCCAGTTCTACAGCTGATAAACAGCACATTTCTGTGACAAACCTGCAGAGCTCAGTGTATAAATTCAATCTGTCAATCAGATTATTGATTTGCTGGAAATAAGCTGCAGATAGACAGACTACTTGCACAAGCTGCACACAATAGCATTCACGCCTCTTGGGGTATGTTTATGAAACTGCTGCTGCCTGGCAATAAACAAATCACAACTTACCATCTTAAAGGAGCTGCACCCTGTATATGCCACCACATATACAGCTCTGGTAATTCATAAGTTCAGCTATGAATGCTGTTTGCTATACTCTTTGCTGGAAGGGATTGTTTCTCTCTGAATTGCTGCTTTTCTTTCTTTTGCACTGTAAGTAGACTGATAGCTATTCAGTCTGGTCTAGCCTGTCTCGCTTGGAATGAATCCCCTCCAGTCAGTACTGCACAGTAGATTATTCAGACAAGTAAACTGTGCATTTCATCAGCTGCAATTGTGATTGCACAAAATAGCAATGAAATCCTACAGTACAGTCAGAAGTGACAATTTCTGAACCAAAAGATACTGCCACCATTAGAATTGCAGTTGGCCTCGAGGCAAAAATCTCAGCAGTTCAACCAGTAGTATCAAGTACCAATACCTTTTCTGCTAAAATTTGTCCTTCTATGTTCATACCAACTACATAGTTTGTTACATTATGTACAAGCATACAAACATTATGTTATTATGTACAGTATAACCTTGCCTAATATTTGAAGTCTGGATTAGCTACTGATACTTCACTTCAAACAATTTAGTTATCCCATATGGTTCTACTTACCCATTTCTGCGGTATGTTCTTGAAGTCAGCTGTGATGAAAGTGTCTTTGCCTGACTTGAGTGATATTGTTATCTGCATCAGCATCCTGTGCTGTATCTTTTGGAAAGGAAGCAAAAATGCTGTGCATCAGGAAAGATGAGATAATTGGTTACTGTTGTCATATTTGAATGTTCTGGCTACTATGAACAGTTGTGTTACTGTATTTGTTAATAGGACCAAATTAGGTGGGAGAATGTTGCTCTCAACACATTCAAGTGATTTAGCAGGCACTGGCTTGAAGAGGGCTAACTGGGAACAATATCCTAGTAAGGACTTGGAATTTTAGAATCGTTGAATCATGGAATGATTTGGGTTGACCCTTTATAGATCATCTGGTGGCAGCCCCCTTGCTGTGGGCAGGGACATCTACCAGATGAAGTTGCTGAATTACAACTGCCTTTCTTCCACATATAATTTCCATGAAATAATTTAATAGGAACAATTAGTGTAAAATACACTGCCTTTTATAACCAGTATGACTATAATGAATGTGACTTCAAAAGTTATATACTTGTTTGCTGTTTAATATCACCATATTCAAATAAGACTAAATCAAATACCGAATAGAAAAAATCCTCATAAGAGGCCGAATACATGTAAATTTCAGCTTATTTTGGATAATACCAGAAATGGAAAGGAAGCATTGTCAAGGTTATATATGGTCAACTTTAATTATAGTTTGAACTAGCATTATCTAACCTAATGCTCTAAATTCCACAATAGGACTACAGAAAACAATGACATCAATATGCTAGCCAAGAAAGCTGATTGCCATCCAACATATGTAGCCAAGGGGGTTGCTATGGCTGCTTTCTACTTGGCTAGATGCCTCCAGCTTGGCCGAGGCATAAAGCAAGATCAAGATGCTGCTAAAAAATACTATTCTAAGGTAAGTTGAGAAAGTCTTACAGACTAATTTATTTATATCTCATGACCTTGGATTTGAGTCTTTCAACTTGCTGTTCTGTTAAAAACTCCAGCATTATTTGTATTAAAAAAAAATCTGTGCAAGAAAAGGTATAGTGATAAAGTATATTGAAAACTACTAAAAATTGTCTTGAAAGGATGCTATCTGGCCACTTGCTTAAGGAAACAAAGCATTCTACAAAACCAACAAAAAAAATCCATGGTAATCACCACAGCAAAGAGCTTGGTAACTTGAAAGATAAATTAGCTATAAAAATTTGAATAATTCTATCCCAAATCAATTTGCTTTCTGTCATTCTCTAAAACTGAAACATCATTACTTTTCCTCTACTTTAGATTCTCTAACAATTATAACCTTCATTAACAATACTTAAATTGGCCATAACTGGTTCTCATGCTTATTTTTATAATTACATTTTTAGCAATAACTGAGGATCTACTGCTTTCTCTGTTCCCTATACACAGGGAAAAAAAAACAGTCACATTTTTTCAACGTTTAATCTTGGAGTAAAATTTATTGCTTGAGGAAAAATATCAGTAATTGCCTCTAGAAGATGAATCTGCTAAGTAATATCTGTGATGCCTAAACGTACATCAGGGCTAGGTGATTATATCAACTGAAGGGAGCATAGAAAGTTTGCATCTGTGCTTTAGAGAGACTATGATTTCTGTGCATGTAGTGACCATTTGTTTCTGCAAGTAGAATACTTTGATTTCCAGCTTGATGCAATCTAAACAAATGGAGAGTTATGTAAATGATAAATTATCAAATAATTTTTGTGGCTCCTGACTCAGGGAAGCCACTGGTATGAGGGTCTTAGCAAGGCAGGTGATCTTCTGAATACAGACCTTTTAAACATTTTTGTTCTTCTGCTGTGAAAAGTGTTATAGAGGATAGGATAAGGAAAGGAATCTAAGCTGAGGTGTTATGAACACTGTAGTATTCCTAGCTACATCTTAAGGCATCAAAGAGGTCCATCAGGATTAAATTGCAGCATGGCTTTGTGGGAGCCATTGTCTCCTTAAGTCTAGCAAAACCATCACTACTGAAAGAAGTAGTAAGCAGATTTATGTTTCTGACTGAAGCCAGCACAGGCCATGCCAACAGAATTTAAAAAAATAAACCCAAGATTAACACTATAGTCAAGTATGCTAATTTTAAATTTTATTGTAGCTATAAACCAGAACACTTGTATTCTTTGTTTTCAAAGGCATGCCACCTGGATCCTGCTGTTGCCTCTGACCTTGAAGTGGCAGCTAATCTTGGGAGAATTTAGCACTTCCTTTAACTATGACTGGTATATAAAAGTATTTCCTACAGTAAATCATCATTAATCTCCAGCAATTACAGACTGTGCCTTACTTACTGCTTGTTTTCAACTTTCTCTAAATTCTTATTTAAAGCTATTTCCTGATTCATTTCATCTAAAATAAAGAAAAAAGCTAACACTCTTTCTTTAACTGAGATGAAGCCAAGGCAGACTTTTTAAAATAGTATTAAAGACTTAAAGTTTTATTAAGGACATTTATCTGGGAACAGATATATTTTCTTTATATCATACTGCTATATAGCACATGAATCAAATCAAAACCAAATAAAAATACTTTTTTCCTTTCTGCATATGTAGTGTTTCTTTTAATATTCTGAAAAGTTTCAACCCAAACTGGTCTAGTTTTCACATACAATCCATTCCCAGGCTATGGCCATTTTTAAACCTTATCTTTGTTAGCGGTATGTATACTTTCTTTCACGTGCTTTCTAATGCATCCAGATCTACTTAAATGTCTTTACACATTTTACTCTTAGATTGCAGAGATTTGAAGTTGGAAACTGGCCTGTAAGACACTAAGGTTTACAGTTCAAGCCATGCCAGCTTGTAAAACTAGAAAATACTACTTACAGAACTATGGGGAAAAAACCTCCAAACATGAGTAAGGAAATATTCTATATACATTCTCAGCATGAAGCCTGTTTTCCTTTATCCTTCATATTGCATTTACATTGCCTCTGTTTGTGTTAGAAATTGTTGAAAACCTTTTGGCTAGGAGTATGTCTGAGCAATGTCATGCTCAATCTTTTATCGAAAGATACTTTGATTAACCACTAGTAAAACTTAATTGCTATGGTAAGCTTGCACATTTCTAAATACCCACTTACTTATAAAACGTTTTAAGTGCTGAATTTGGCTTGCTTCTTAGGACTGCCATGACCTGAAAACTTTCCTGAATCTGTTGGAACAGAAAGCTAGATGTTACTAAATTGTTGATTAAATATAGAATACAGATAGTGTGTACCTTACAATACAGCCAATTTTAACTGCAAGTAGTTTTTCTAAGAGCACAACTGTACTGAATTGAAAAGACAGTAATGAGTGTCACCTTGGGATTTCTGATGATGTTTAATTATTTAGATGTGCATTAAGACCATATTTACATATTTTTACATAAATAAAAAAAAAAAATAACCAAAAGTAAAAAACCACTGAAGACAGTTTCCTCTCCTGGTATAAAATAAGGGAAATATCTGAAGGTTGTTTGAAAGTGGGGTATTTGAATAAAAGAGCCCTGAGTAATATCAGGGAAGTTATTAGAATGGTTTAATTAAATGTCTGCTTGATCATTCATAGAAGCAATTCATAAGCAGTGATCTCTGAACTAACATTTAACACAGGCATTCTGTTAGGACATACCAGTTTACAATACATAATTTTGACACAGACTTCAAAGCAATGTAGATATTTCTTATGAAACTAGTGCTGTCAAACTCATTCATTAGTTGTCAGTACAGCCTCACTATCAAATACTGCAATCCAGTTGTGATATTTATTGCTTACAAATGCTTCAAACTACAGAAAATCTTTGGTAAAAACAAAATTGATACAATTTTCACAATAGCTTTACATGTAGTATTGCACAACAAGGCTTTTTCAATACACAAGAAAAAAAAGAGGAATGCTCAGATCCTCAGTGAGGAGATTAGAACTGTACAACATTCATTAGTTTTCCACTATAAGCAAAATTTCTTTTCATAAATGTTTAAAATATTTTCTGGTTTCTTTCAGCATATATGAACATTTATTTTTCAATCTATATTTGAAACAGAAGAGTAGTCAAATAGAACAATTTAAATAAAAATTGGCAGCTATACAGCATTGTTTTGTCTACCCTACTACAGCATCAGATCTTTTCAAGTCTGTTTACTTCACAAAAAACTCAAGAGGAAAGAAAAATGCTAAAAATAATCATAGTCCTCAGCCCTCTATGGAAAAGAGGAAAATAAGTTTCATGTCTATTATCGAACATAGACATTTCTCTAGTGGTCCAGTTGTGCAGATTCAAACCTAAGTGGCATTAAGCTGCTCTAAATGAGCTCTCAGCTCAGGACACAGTTCAGTTAGCAGCAGTTCCAGCAAAACCTGAAAAAGAGAAACAAGTTAAGATGATGTAGGTGCCAACCAAATGAGAATTTGTGCTTCCCTTCTGTCATGTTTAGAGCATCACAGATAACAGAAGCATGTACATTCCATTCTATTCATCATTCATGCAACTACTTTCCTTTTATCCTGAAGTTAGCACTTGCCCTAGAGAAAACATGGGAAATGTCTTAAGGCTGAAAGGAGGCAAGTGCAAAGGGCAGCTGCTTTCAGATGGCGATTTCCCACCCAGTATAAACTGTTGCTGTTCTGCCAAAGACTCTGCAGCATGATCAGCAAGCACCAGAGCCTGCATCTCATACGTCTCCTGAACAGGCTGCATCCTCTCCAGTGCTAAGGCTGCACTGTGTGACGGTTTGGTGCCCAAAATGAGCCAGAAGAGACTGACTGAGCGTGAAGGCATTATACTTAGATCCAGCTGCATGCTCCAACATAGTCTCACCAACAGTTGAGGAGTGGGACTTTTGGAGTCCTGTCATGTCCTAACTACAAGCCAGTCCTGGAGCCCTCCTTCCCTAGGATTCTGCAACATAAATTTATTTTTCTAAGATGTATGAAGAAATTAGTTTGCACCTTATGAAGTCAGGAAAGTTGGACGTGGTAGAGGATCTCTTTTAGATAAAAGCAATGCTGCTGTTAAACAGCCTTTTGGTACATTTTCCTCACTTATTTTAATAACAAAAGAAGTTTCTTGCACACAGACCAATAGTTCAAACTAAATCACTGGCTTTAATACTGAGTAAATAGAGCTCAGCAATTAACAAGATCATGAAGTTAAAAAGCTACTTTTCTGGTTACTTACATAAAGTAGATGCTTGTTAGCCTTCCTTTCTTGCAACGCATTGAACACTTTCACTACACCATGACGGGCATTTTGTTGTCCAACAAGATTCTGCAGAGTATCTGCAACAAATGTTACTTCAGCTTATATTGCTTTACTCCTGCTAGGCAAAACCTCCAGCCTATACTACTACCCAGAATCACAGAATCGACCCCATCAGGGTTGGAAAACACTTTCAAGATCATCTGGTTCAACCATAAGGACCCATAAAGGAGGGGAAACAAAGCCACTGCACTTCAGTGGCCCTTGGTTACAAGATACACAGTGTCTAGTCAACAACATTTTAAAAACACGGGTCACATCTTGAAAAGATACGTATCCTTATTCTCAAGTCACCCAAGTTAGATAATAGTGTGTGAATCTCAGTGACAATGCTTTACATGTTTTAACATGACATATAGTATGCTTTTTTGGTAGTTCACCTCACAGAGTCAAGTTTAATCTCATACATCATCTCATATATCACTTAAATTACTTTCACCAACAAAGACAGAATTCCTACAACAGTTAAAAAAGATTTAGCACTTGAATTGCTTCTCAATCTTCACAGAGAATAACTTCCCACAAGTAAGCAGTTCAGAGAATTCTATGTCAATTATTTACATTTCGGATTAAATTAGAGAATAAATAGTGATCCAGTGCTCCACCATTAATCTAAGGTGCATTCAGCTATGTCCTGTCATATGGCTCCAAACTCAGAAACAAACAAACAAAAAAAATCAAACAAAACCACAAACTATGGAAGGCTATCTAGATAAGTAGGTAAGTACATAACACAGGGAGTAAATGGAGAGTTGTTTACACATGAAATAAATATTTTGCATGCATACCTGCTGCTTTTTTGCAGTAAAATTTCATTAAACAACCTAATGCACAGAGTATCTCAATGAAGTCATAAAAGAGCTCATCTCTTCAGATGAAGAGGAGATAAAAAGCATTCAAGCTATGTTTAAGTGCATTTCCAAGTGCTAAAAGTAATGATATTGTTTCTTCCCAGTTAGGAGCCTTTGGTTTGCATGATCTCTGAGGAGTCAAAAATATATAACTGGACTTCTGGTCCTGTGAATGGGACAGGATGGAGCATCTCAGAATGCTGCCCCAGAAATGTGCTGGCTCAAGAGGAAGCTGCCTAGGCTTGGGAGATAAGGGTAGGCAAAGGAGAAAACCCACTCAGTCGAGGATCTTTTTCTGTCCAGGCTGCAGGTCACTCTAACATTCAGCGCTCTGAAATTTCTTATCAGAAACAGACAGCAACACACAACCTGACCTTGTGGGTAGACCTCTCTCTCCAACTTCGAAATAAAAGAGGAAGAAGTAATTAGGGTGTGACTCTCCTATTTGTCACGTACTTCCAGGTAGCAGAACCACCTGGTATTTGCTCACAGAGAACTAGCAGAGAGAAAGTCTCAACTGAGGTTCCTTAATGAATATTACACACAGAAGTACAGCAATACGTGATTTTGCATCCACCAATATCTGAATTCATGCCCTTTACCAGACAGAGAGGAGAGGCAAAGAATAAGGCCAAAATTATCCTTATTTATGCAAATAATCATGATTTAGAACTCTAAAGGAAAAATAATTTGATTAACCTTACTAGCTACTCAATCTGCGACAAAGCAGAATAAAAGTGATCTCACCTGGAATGTTTTCAAGCAGTTTTTGCTGTGCTCTCTGTTTTGTCTCTTGCTTTTGTTCATCGCTCTTGGCTCTCGGTGGTGGTGCTAACTTTCCATTTGGCCAAAAAGCATCTCGAAACACACCAATGTAGTAAACTAGCATTGGTTCACTGAAGATCCAGTGTACAGTGTCACGGATTTGCCTGTAAAGAAGTGTTGAAGGGAGCTCATCAGAGTTCGTCTTTCATGTTTTATGCAGATTTATTCTTTTTACTTTTAAAACATACATTGGAACTACATTTCAGGGATGGGCACTACAAAGGCTCCACAGGGAAAAGATGTAAAAATCAGGTAACTAAATGTAGCAAACTCCAAACTAGTTGCATGCATAGATGTGCCTGCTAGGATAAAGACAAAGTTTTGATAGAAGCACAGTAGGTTCCCTCACAGATAGCAAAAAGCACATTACTGAAGGGATTACAAGCAGAGATAGCAACCTCCTCCTGGGACTGCAGCAGTCACTGTAGCCTTCAGCACCAAGAGTCTGAGGTAGAGAGCAGGCACTACTGCTGTGCCACACTACAGCCAAAACCCTTAAAATCTATAAATGTAAAAATTCAGCCTACATGTAAAAAGCTATATAGCAACTTCACATGCCTGCTGTGCTCACACACTCTGTCCCTCTCTGTCCTCTCTCAGACATTGTCCATCTTAGCTATCAGTAGTGTATACAAAAATGAACCAATCAATTTAAAACTCACTGAGTGTATACTGTCAGAGACCACTCCAATTTACTGCTACATAACATACATAAAAGGCTTTAAAAACCACACTGGCATGTGCAAATTTAGTCAATGACTGGACAAAGAATAGGTTGTTCTGCTGGTAGAATACTTTTCCAAATTTTTTCTGAAATAAAAATTTCTGAAGTAAAAATACAGCTTTCCAAATGAAAGTGTGTGTATAGACAGGCAAACTGACTTCATAGCCTCATCCAGGCCTCACTTGACAAAGATAATTCACATATCTGTGTTTTCTCTAACCAACATATTTGTAAATTGAACTGTGTAAAACAAATGCAGATTATCATATAAAACAGAATGTCCCAATTATTTTTTTAATAACTCTACTCTCAGCCTTTTTTCCTAGAGCAACAATGAAGGTTCATTTAAAGAAACAGCTACTTACTTGTTGATAGTTCTTCCAAAAGTGACTTGTACTAGTGCAATTAATGTTTTTCTGACCCATTTGAACACTAGAACAATGAAAAAATTATGAAAAATGATGACCAAGAAGTTAGTAACGTTACAGAACCCATGATCATGTCCAAAACCTTCCCCCTGTCACCCTCAAACCAAAACCAAACAACCTATCCCTACAGTAAACACATTGTGATAACCCTTTCTAAGATTTCATTAATTGTACAGGTCTCATTTTTCTTGATTGCTTTCCTTGTAGTGTTTGCTATATGATTTTTAAATCTTGCAGATTACATAAATATATATAATTTGCATTTTAGGTTATACTGTAAACTTTTATGTTTAAGAATATTTCAAGTTTATGGAGCCATACAACTACTACCCAAACCCCTTTTCTGCCTACAAAAACACAAATGTCTTCAAAATTCTCACCTTTTTGTACCTGCTAGTATAATGTACAGCAGCACCATTAAAATTCTGAGAACATTTTCACTCAAATAAAGCAAGCAGTCAGCTTTCCATTACTAATAAAGGAAACAAATGTGAGTGCTTCCTAGTAATTACTGGTTAATCTTTCTTTCATGCTGTTCATTATCAGCACAATAAAGCCTATATTTGGAAGATACATCTGCCATTTTTGGAAGGTGCTGTATTTTGTAATAGTTACCCTGTAAATCATTTTATAGAGCACCATGTGTGGCTGCACATTCAAATAGAAACAAAAATAGTTTCTTTATTACCATCATTCAGTTACATAAAGGAGAAAAAAAAATTCTAGCATTTAAAGATGCCACAATTCTAGCATCTTTTCCATTATACAAATTGTAGAGCTAAAGTGCATACATAATTCACTTTAAATGGATATTAAAATTGTATTTCTTTGCCCAAGACATGTTCTATAATAAAGCCATCATTCCTTCCTCAGAATTTATATATTCTAAAAAGCATCCTATTTACAGAAAACATGCTACTATTCTTTTCTGGGTTTTTTCCAGACTTTTTTTCATGAAGAACTTAATTCTAAATGCAAATGCTCTCCCCTACCAGCTATATTTTTATTACTATTTTATATTGGAATTTCACTTTTGAATGAAAGCTCTGAAGTTATGAACTACTGAGGAACAGCTTGGTTCCAAACAAACAAACTGGCTATAGAGGTTGCAAGAACATTTCCACTTATTGAAACAGCAGAAAAATCCAAATTACAAAGTGCCACAGATTTCTGAGCCAACAGATTCCAATAGCAATTAAGCAGGTTCACAGCTTACTTCCTCGCAGTTCAAAAATCTCTCCAATCAGCATGAAACATGGTTCAGCAAGAGAGTCCTTTTTCCCATCCACCTCCTCTCCATAGTCCGACAGGTCACTATCCTCTTCTGTTTCTTCCTAGAAAGAGAGGCACAACATGGGTATGCACTGCAGTTCCCCATCCTTCCTCTAGAATGGATTTAGTTACTGCCATGCTCTGGGAAGGAGCACAGCCAGTCATCTCACAAAAGGGCATTAGGGCCAACAACTGCTGCTGGCAGGATCTGGCAAACAGGAACCTCGCTCGGGATTTCCTTCACGAAGCCTAGCCATGATTGCCATCAATGTATTTTAAAAAACTCTTTTTATTGTCACCCACATTTCTGGCAGCTTCAACTCCAGCTGAGCTTTGGCCGCACAGATTTTCTCCCTGCAGTGGCAAGCAGCATCTCTGAATTTTTCCCATATCACTTGATCTTGCTTCCACTGGGCATACACCTTCCTTTTTTGCCTTACTTCCAAGAGAACATTCCTGTTCAGCCAAGCCGGCCTTCTGCCTCGCCTGCTTGACTTCCGACATTTGGGAATTGCTGCTCCTATGCTTTTAGGAGGTCACGTTCAAAACTTGACTAGCACTGATGGACCCCAGCATCTGCAAAAACATTATCCCAGGGGATCTTACTTACTAATTCCTTGCTTTGTTTACTTATTTTTTCTTTCCCATATTTCCTAACTATTTCCTCCTACATGTTCACATAATACAATATACACGCAGCCTGGCTTTTGTCTTGAGGATGTTTTTCAATTAAATAGCAAAATACAAATAGCTGCACACTTCTATGCTTTTATGCTACTTCTTAACAGTCATTTTAGTGAATGCACTTTTGGTTTTAGAACTGCAGTACTTCTACTGAAGTCCAAATCTAGTTTTTTCAACTTTCTTTATATTTATTACTCTGAAATGAGGCATACGCATTCAGCATCTAGATGCAAACAGAATGTAATTTTGAAAAACGTATATAGAATTTTCTTATTTCTGAGAGATGCAAGACCACCTCTCTGCCTATTAAGAGGCTAGAACTGTACCTGTTCCCCAAACTCCAATTATCCTGCAGAAAACCCATCCACTGCAGACAAATACAGCATGTAAGAAATTAATTATTTCATATGAATTTTGTATAACATATAACTAAAATGGGGAACAGAAACAACTCCTTGAAGGTTGCATATCTGCGACATGAGCAACACAGAACAGAGTGCCATGGAATTATGGTTGATTCTAGTCAATAAGCTATTTCAGTCACTAATCTATTATTCATTGCATTTTGATAGATGTGGGTTTTTATGGCTTAATATCAAATTCTCCAAGTGGTTTGCCCACATAGGTTCCTGCCTGCATTTCCAAATTCCCTCAGTAAGCCTGCACTACTTGCCAATGTTTTTGGTCAAAACTAGCTTTGCTTCAGAAGTTGTCATAGAATTATTAAGGACACACAGCTCCTGCCAAGAGAATCTTCCCAAGAGAGAATTATTTTTACGTGCCAAAGCTCCTCTGAAATATGCATATCAAGACCTCAAAAAAGAGGCAAATTCTGCTATAAAAAAAATAAACAATCCCACATGGACTACAATTTGTTTATTTGTGACAGCTTATGCATTTGCCTATATGCATTGATCAAAGGGCAGGAAACTTATTTTGTTAATAAACACCTTTTAAATTCATACATAGCTTTATTTTTGACTCTTCGTTCACTTCCAGTAAATTACAAATCAGTTTTGGAAATGTCTTCCAATATTACCTACCATTCAAACACTAATAACTTTCCCTGCTTACTTTGTATAAGTAATTAAATTTAGGAAGATTACTTTTCTACTGCTTACCTCCTGATGAGAAAACAAATCACCAGGAAGTCGTTCAAGAAATGAGGAGAGTGAAAAAGATGACTTCTTTCCTTGCACATCAATAACTTTGAGGTGCTCTGGGGAAGGGCTCAAGAAGGCATAAAGTGCTTCACTCTGGCAGAGTCTTTCATCAGAGAGTAATTTCTATGAAAGAAAAATAATTACTGAAACATGTCAATTAAACATTTCTTGTTAAGGAATAAGATGTGTCAAGCCATCCACTATAACCAAGTAAGTCATGGCTCAGAGGCAGTGTGAGGAAAAAAAAAGAAATCCATGTCTCACAAAGATACTATAACAAGCTAAAGTACTGGAACTATTAAGATTGAAGTTTTTAATCTTACAACTTTCTTTTTTTAATAAAAGTTCTCATTTTTAAGGAATTTGTTGAGAAGTGTTGTAGCTAGAAGTGGCAACTACAGGATTCATTACTTATGATTTCTTAATTAACTGAAGTTTAAATTAACTTACCACTGGAGGAATGGTTACTATCAATCAAACTTATCTTAACTTCAGGCATTTTAGACAACTTTGACATTTATATCAAACCTTACATCTGACCCATTTGTTCTAGACTCTCTCTTTAGGCAATAAAGAGACAACATTCTCTCAATTCTGCTGTTTAGATATCTGTTGGTTTTGGTTTTCTTTTCTTACCTGCAGGAAGTTATTAAGCTGGTTCTTGGATTTCTCCATGAATTTCTGGTCTATGGATTTGAAGGGCAGCTTGCTGAGAGAAGGCAACTGAACTTTTTTTAATGATGGAAAACACTGTGTAGGAGAGAGGAGAGCTCACTTAACATGCATGTGGAGAAAAAGACAACTGGTTCAGAATGGAAATGAAGAGATTCTTTTGTACTCTCATCTCCCTTCCACACCCCTCTCAGCACCCTGAAAAACACCTCCCTTACCCACTAGAGGCTTCCCTTCCCACCACCATCATCTATCCCTTATCATACAGAAAGGTTAAAGCGCTATAAAAAGAAACATTCTCTGTCCCCAAAAGCTGTCATTTCTAATACTTCCCTGGAAGCCAGAGACAAAATCTAGTTTTTACAGTCAGCTCTTCCATGACAGTGAAGAACATATAGCATTCTGACACTGGGTTAGTCCAGTAAAACATTATTAAGAAGGAAAAAAAAAATTATAAAAAAGTCTTATAAGCATCTCTCTCTGTAAGAGACCAGAAATATTCAGACAGAAAACTAGCTCTAAAAGGGCTAAAAGCCAAAAGGCTGCATTAAAACTGGTAGTATTAAATTTTTATCATTCTGACAAATTTTAGAAATTTGTATCTTCTTCTTCCCTTAGCTGAGATTCATACCTCACTGAGTTTGCGGTGTAGGTTCTGAAACTCATTGAGCTTTCTGGGAACAGTCCAGTTCTTAGTTTCAGCTCCACCAACTTCTTGTAAACTCACCATGACAGAGTAACAGGGCACTTGTTCTCCATTCTCTTCTAAAACCTTGTGGGGAAGAAACCAGCAGATAAGCTATACTACATTGAAACTAAAACAGCAGAACATTTGAGCTGCCAGATGACTGGCTTGCAAACTCAGTCATCATCAATCCCATGCTTCTCTTGAGATTTGAAAGCTACATATGGAGCAACACCCTTAATGAACTAAACTTCACCCAAATGCTGTGCCAGTCCTGAATCAGTCCTCTAGCTAACCACTATAGTACCTCACATAAAGCTTAGCAATGCTGTCCACCAGCAATCAAATCTCACTGACATGTCTTATTCAAACAGCTGAGTGTATTATTTCGGTTTTTAAGGTCCCTATCGTATAGCTTTCTGATTATCAATACTCCATTCTGGTTATCAGTACTCCATCTCTCCTATCTGCAGTTATCTGAGTGTTCTCCCTTTATTCCTACGCTTCCTTCCCAGTGCCCTGTTGAGGCTTCTCCACATGCCAGGCCCAGCAGCTCTGCAGCTGGGCCCTGGGACACCTAGTGCTGTCTCAGTGATTTCTCTACTCACTTGAGCCATTCTGCATGCATAGAGGATGTGGTATCCATGCAGTGTTTATGTCTGAGGGACTCACAACTTTACAAAAATACTAATAAATCAAACACTACAATCCTCAGTCAGAGGAACGAGAACCAATTAACCACATTGTGCAAATGGGAAAACTATAGCAAAGAAGTTAAGCAATTTTTCTTGAGACCAGAGCAGCAGTGTGACCACATTATTTCTTCATTTAATGTAAGAACTGACATAAGAATTTCATCCTTTTGTTCTATTCGTAAAAGATTTTTGTTTACTTATTTTGAGGAGACAGCTAAATTGATTATGAAAGGCAAATAAGGGAAATGCATAAAATACTTAACTCTAGGAAGGCTTTGTCTTTACGTACATGCAAATAACTGAAAGGTAATTATAAAATACCACTTTCACAATCTTTTTGAGGAAGTTATTTTCAAGCTTTTTCTAAAGAATAGTTGAACTAATCTAATTAAGATAAAAATAAACTTTAAAATTCATACAATTATGACACATATTCTGAGAACCCTGCAAAGGCTGTAAAGGTCTGACAACACTTAATGCTATTGATGGATAATTTGACAAGTGACTACATTACCATTGTAAAAGACATGCAGCTAAAATGTACCTTTATATTTTTAGGCCATTCAGAGCTGTACATGGAGAATATTCCCTGTGATTCCTAAAGCTGCATATGGACAACTGGGAAGACAAATCTGAGGCCCAGATTTCACATATCTGTGTAAAAAAGCTGCAGCAGAACCCAGACAGAATACAAAGCACCAGCCTGAATGCCTGAAGATATGCCTGTTTCTCAGTGCAGCTATTTGGGGAACTGCCTATCTCCTGCCAGAGAATTGCAGACAGATGCTTGAACAGCCTCCAAAATACAGGTTAGAGAAACACGGCCCAGAAGAATTGGGATTGTGTGGGACAGTCTCTACCCTGTGTACCCTGAGCTAGATTGGATCTGTGCTCACCTACAAGCTGCAAACACCTCCTGGCTGCAACTTTTGAATACTGGGAGATCAGTGCTGAAATTGCTGATAAGAGTCATGCCTATCATTCTCCATTCTGCATTTGTTCCCAGGGCAGGGATTTGCATGTGTGTAGGGTCACCTGAACTGTAATTGTCAGGAGAGAGTCACTGCTCTAGAAGCATATTCTCAGAATGAGAGGACTTAGTACTCCTGCTTCAAGTTAGGATCCATGTGCAAAATTATTTAAATTCTGATTACTAGATGGAGACATATTACAACTTTCTTCAAGTACCCTCAAATACTCTTATATAAATACTGAAAGTCTTCAGAATCTTTTTAGAATGCAAAATTCTTGATCAACTTATGTACTTGTGCATTTGTTTTTCCAAATTAATGAGTCAAATGGAAAACATAATGATGGGATGTTAGGAGGTCTTCTAAACCAGGAGAACTAGTCCTCTGCTGTTAACAGGCACCATCTCATACAATTGCTATCATGAATAAATTCAAACTAGAGAGCCCTATTCCTCTGATTCTCTCCCTTCTGCTAAGTTAAGCAAATGAAAGTGCTTTCAGAATCACTTCTCATGGGAGAAGTTCCTCACTCAAGGTCCCCAGGCCTTTTTCCTGGGCAGCTTTCTAGTCACCTCTTACCTGGGTGTGGGGTGTGGTAACAGTAAGAAATACGCAATTTTTTCCCTCTTATTCAGATCTACAAACTTCATTCCTTATGAAAGCAATAGATTTTTTAAAAAGATGTTAAGCTCTGAAACAGTCATTCTTTGGACAAGGGAGACATGGGGTTTTTTCAAATCTTAGGTAACTATTTTTTTATGTGCTATCTATTAACTGGCTTAGTAATCAGTTTAAAAGATCAATGACAGACTATTATACTTTCAGCTTATTTCTATATCCAAATCTACTAAGCTTTACTGCAAAACAATAGGGCTACCAAGTTTTTCTCTCTCTAAAATCACAGAGGTACATCCTGGGATTAGCAACAGCATATTTTGCAGATAGGAAGACAATGTCATCTTCTCATTCCCCCTGAAATCAGCTGCAGCCAGAATATTCTCAAGCAATTAATTAACATAGGCTGGAGAAAACATGTATGTTGTAATTATCTATCCTTTGAAGCACAGAGACACAAACAAGACAACTAATGCAAACCTACAGTTCATTAGCTATTCCAGTACTCCTTATAAGTTATAGTTAAGGCAGTAAGTAATTAGAAGCCTCTTCCAACCTCCATCTTATTTAGCCAAACTACACTGGACAGTTGTGTATGGTGCCCCTTACCACAAAGCTGCCCTTCTGCAGTTTTGCTGCACACAGCATTGCCAGATTTTAAAACTATGCTTCAAAAGCTACAGATAACTCTTAAAAGACAACTTAAGAGCTTCTCAACTCTCAACTGTGTCACTTGCAAACAGCGTTAAAACAAATCCAAATCCAGATGTTTGCACATGGAGAAATTTGGTTTTAAAAACGTCACCTTAAGTTTTTAACCCGTTGGATTTATTTCTTCTTTTACAGACAATGACTTTAATTGTTAACAGATCTATCACTAGCTTACAAGAGCTTAAGACACAACCAAATAAGCTCAACAGCACATACTTTTCCTTCAACAAAAAGTTACCTCAAGATAACTACTTATATTTGTTTCAGGAACATTTTCTTAATGACATAGGAAGGCAAGCCAGTAGAGACCAAATTAATCTTTAATTCTCTGTAGGGATACTGTCAAGAAGATTGTTTATGTTCCTGTTACGTACTACATAACAGGCAGTCGCTGATTGGCAAGTGTTAGAGAGCTAGGAGATGGTAATACTTGTTTTCATTACAAATTTTTTTACATTCATTCTACAATTGTCTGCTTACGTCCAAATGGAAAAGCAGAACGACACACAAAAAAAAAAAGTAACTTCATCTTACAGATATAAAGCACTTTCTTTCTGGGTATTCTAGTCCCCTGAAACTGTACTGGTATTAAATATAATACTACAAAACAATGAGTGCGAGTACTGCATCTTTGAGACACAGCAGAGACACAACTGCACCCAAGTGCGATAGCATGGTAATATAACAATAGACAGTTCTCATGGAAAACAATGCCTCCAAGATAGCAAACTGTCAAAAACAGTTTATGTTCATGCGGGTAATTTTTATAACTCCATTACAACTGTGTTTGAAGAACAGAAATTTTGTATATGCATCACAGTAGCCACTGGGAAACAAGAGGAACTCAGAAGAGGGTTCCTTCCCCCACAAGTCAATATTAAGTATAAACGGTGTACACAAAGGTATAGGGAAAGTAGCTACACATTTTTCCTCCACTTTTCATGCAAGCTTGAACTGACTCAGAAGACAAAAAGCCATAAAAAAATCCCATACCTCGCCTGAGACAATGAAGGCTTTCCACATGCCAAGATTCTCACACCACCAGTCCGTTCTTGCAATGTGCAGCTGAAGGTCACTGTGCTCTCTCTCCATCAGAGTAATTTCATCTTTCAGCTTAGAAACAATCTGAAGAGGAAAGTTTATTGCTTACAATTGGTAAGAAAAAGCTCATGCAACATGCCTAGTTGTGTCCTTGGGGACAGTGTTCATAAAGAAAAGGTACAAAAGCAGGGGGAGAACAATTCACATGGATTAAAAAAAAAAAAATGAATCAAAAGCGATTACAAACAAAACACAGACTTTAGAATGATACTGGATCCATTTTACTATTCTGTTCCAGAAAGATATATATTTTCAAAGACAAAGAATATTTTAGAAACAAAAACATACAGGGAAAACCCCACTACTTTAGTAGGACTACAATCCCTGCCTCCCCAAGAGCTTAAAGTATAGAAAGAATATAGCTATTATGTTTCAAGAATGCAAATGGAACTTAGAAGTGATACATCCATGTGAATGAAACAATATATAAAGGTTTAGTCATACAGAATGATAGAATGGCTTGGGCTGGAAGGGGGACACCCCAGAAGAGCTGCAAACAGATTTTCGGCTGTCTGCAGTAACCTCTGGCAGAAGGAAGATGTGCAAGGGACAGAGGGAATAGTTAGCCAGGATAGCCTCAAATGCTAGTGCTCACATCTTTCTCTTAGAGGTAGTTATCCTCAGAGGTGGGGTGGCAGAGAACGAGTCAACTTCTATTCAGACCAGCATCTTACCATTCACCACGAGCGAAGGAACAAATATACGAAAAATCCAGCTCCTGAGCAATGACTAATGCCCAGGTACATTTCTGTCACCCAAAGCAGGAGGTCATTTTAGGGAGATGCCTTGGCTATTTGTTGGTCTCACCCACCGTCTACCATTTGCAACCAAGCAGTACACCTGACAAGCTTTGCCCACCTGCGTCTGAACAACAGTCCTGTATCACCCCCGGTAGCAACACAAATGAGTCGGCCTAAGCCATATGCAAATCACTTGCTTCTCCTGGAACACTGTCTCAGACTGCTTAACTGCTTCACTTCACAAGAGAAAAGGAGATTTGTTTGTTTGTTTGTTTTTAGCCCAAGTCCAGAGTGCTGAAGTTTCATATCCCTCAGAATTTTTCATCTGGTGACAGTGTGCTTTTTCCTAGTTCCTAATCAAGGAAATCAGTCACTTTTATAGGTTTGGGGCTTTTTTTATCCCTTTATTCGACCAAATCCGTCACAGCTGGGTTATGGAGCTGTGCTGTGCTCTTCACAGCCAGCAGAGGGCGCGGGAGTTGACCAGCACATCCCTCCGCGGCAGCGCTGCAGGAGAGGCAGGGACAGGACACAGGCTGCCACGGACTCGGCAGGGCAGGGAGGGAAGGAAGGAACACTATTTCCCACTGACAAAGCAGCAAGACCACTAAGAGAGTGGTTGTTATTCCATGGCAAACAAAGCAATATAAATCATATCTGCAATTTTAGTTAAAATAGCTTTAAAAAAAATTGAAAAAATAAACAATTAAAACAGCTCTGATTTCACCTCCTATTTAACAACTTGATTGAAATAGCAATCTGACCTGTGCAAAGTGTGACAACTGGATATTACACAAACACACACATAATATTTTAAAAAAACTCAAACAAACTAAACCTGAAGACAGTAAAGGTACTTACCTTTTTGTCGGGTTTTGGTGAATTACATATGGAATTTAGAGCCTGTTTCTTATACTCAAGCTTGTCATTTAGCTGGCGAAGTTTATTAACAGCATAACTGGCCTGTTCATTAATTCTTGTGCTGCATTCTTCAGTAGCTTCTTCACAACCTTGGCTCTAGAAAAAGAGAATGGGGGTAATTGCAACATTAATATAAAAAAAAGAGACAGTTATTAATAGAATGATAGAATGTATGGGCTAGAAGGGACCTTAAAGGTCACCTAGTTCCAATCCCCCTGCCATGGGCATGGACACCTTCCACTAGATGAGGTTGCTCAGAGCCCCATTCAGGCTGGCCTTGAACACTTCCACGGATGGGGCAGGGATGGGTTATTATTCGCTTGTTAAGCATTTTATGTGTAAGAACACTTCTTGATGTAGACAAGAATGTATGTATAACAGATATCCCAACAACCAGATCCAACATGAAACATCAGTCTGTTATAAAAAACCAAACCAAATCCCCAAAACCCCAACAGACAACACCTCATTACCATTCCTACTACAGTTCTTTGGCAACTCTTGCCAACTGTGTAAAATGACCTTCAAGCTAAGGCTTTAGTGTAAGTGAGAGGTAGAATTAAAGTTTATTTTAAAAGCAACAGCTTAATAGTCATGATCAATATTCAGAGCCAGATAGAAAAGCAAATACTTAGCTCTGAGCTGAAGGATAACGAGATGGGGTAGTGAGGAACAAAACCAAAAAAATTTCACAGTTCTAACAACATTCCTCCCACAAATCTTCACAAAACAGATTTGTCATCCTGCAGAACAATTTAAACCAAGTCCTTTTGCTTCATAAACAGATTTTAATGCTATTTTTAGAAGTGCTAATAAAAATGTGTTAAAAGCCCATATGCCTTACCCTAAACTCATAAATCATTATCATATATTCATTCAGACAAACCAATAGCTTTCTCTGTCTTGTGTACTACGGGCATGCAAAAGATAGAAAACTTCACATCTTTATGTGACATTCTCTTTAACATCTTTTGGCATTTGCCTCAGTCTCGCCTTCTTACTGTACATCCCCAAATAGGCAATGAAGACCTTGAGATACAGCAAACACAGCACTCAGCTTTTATTCTTGCCACATTCAAAGATCATTGAGGTCTTTTTGTGACTGGATATAACTAAAGTTATCTGTAGGAAGCTGAGTTTAATCTCATGGATAGGAGCTCCATGTTCTTTAATGATATTCCCACTAAGTAAACTATCTTCATATAATTAACAGAAAGGTAACAGAAGGAAGTCTCATCTCTACTAAATTATTAAGTTTTAGAGGAGACAATTCTACTGTAAATTCCACTGTATTTTACATCTTAGTAAAAAAAAGTCTGAAGAGATACAGTAGCAACAATAATAACTGCCTTAGTGTGATCCTCATAGGAGAGGGTAACATAATGCAGAAGTCAGGAGTTCTAGGCTAAGAAATCCATGCCCTTTCCCAGCTCTGCATTTGCCTGCTATGTGTCTGAGTAATAAACATTAGCTCTACGCCCTGTCTTTTCTTCTGTCTATTCTGCATGGACTGTAAACTCCTCAGGTCAGAAAACTGCCCCCAAGCACATGTACAGACCTCAGCTCATGGAAACCTGTTGTCATCTCCTGGAACTACAGTAATGCAAATAATAATAATTAACAATATTGGCTGTTATTCAAAATGGCTTTCTTTCTAAGAGTGATGCAGAACATAGACTTCAGTCTTATTTTAGCAATGCAGCACCAATGCAATCCCCAGACCCTCTTTCCTCAAAGTGCTGAATTCAAGCACTGCTTGCTTCTGTCTTTCTACTTGTGACCTTCTAATCAAGGTTTGTCCAGGAAACAGAAAGTGGTAACAGACTGGAAAGAAGAAAGAGCTTGTTCCACTTGCAGCAGAATGCGCAGTCTGGCCTGGTCCTGATTCCTATCTTGTGACTTGATTTTCTCACGTTTAATCAAGACTCATCCTTTTGTCCTCGCCTCCATGAGTGCACTAGATGACTTTTTACCTATCCAGCTACAGCAGTGAAATATATAGAAAATTAAGAAAGGTGACTCCCACAGTGCCCCAAGAAGTAAGGATGTAGACCCAAAACCCAAACTAAGCCAAAACCAATCACTACTTGCTAACAATATGTATCCCTCCAGAAACATTTGATTTCTGAGCTGTTGTTTCGTATACATGGGGAGGGAAAAAATCCCAGAAATGTATTATCCAGTACTGCATTTTTGCCAACATTTGAAAGACCAATGGAAGCTTCAGAGAGAATTTCTTATAATTTTTTTTCACCTCAAAGACCCTGAAGCATGGCACAGTGCCATTAGAACTGCTCTATTCAAGAGATACTCTATCAGTATACACACCTTCACATTTAATTAGTTGTTAAAAATTAAAAAAAATACCTCAGCTTTAATCCTATTAGGAGACTTGACAATATATCAATCTTTAAGATTTCAGGGCAGACACAAACTTCAAATCTGGCACATACACATCCAAGGACTCAGAGGAAGGACAGATGATACTGATGTCAAAAATCTAATTTTTTGGCAGCTACAGTAGATATTATCTGACAGATATCAGCTAGCCCTAAAGTGTTGTCAGTTTTCTTAGAGAAATGGCTATCCGTGTCAGAGACTGAATAAAGCATATGAAGAGATTAAAAAGCACAACGTTTAATGTTTTAGAAAGTACTGGACAAAACTGGTAAAGACACACAGTCTTTGAAGTACCTACCACCCTCAACACACAGCTGAGTTAGCAGTGAGAAAACTAGAAAACATGTCTGGGAATATTCCATCAAGGGAAAGAATAGAGGGAAAAAAAAAACAATGAAAAGATTCAGCAAGCTCTAAAAGCACATCTTGGAAGTAATTTACTTATAACAGCTCATCTCTGCAGATTTGCTGATATGCAGAATACAGAGATTATAATAACTCACCTACAGAACGAAAGCCATATTTAAGCAGTAAATACAAAAGTCTTATGTTCTGGAAAAATTGTTTCTAAAGGGTAGAATGTAGATCACCACTTCTGGATTCTGCTTATTGTTTATTTAGATCCAGTTTTAGACAAACTGTTACATTTCATTGTGTTCTGAGAAAGTTCATAAGATGAAGATATCCATGCTGGTCTGAAGCAGCAGCCTGACCGAGATGCACTCACTAGTCTGAGACTTGCTCTTGTCAAAATGTTCTTAGATAATTGCAACACAAGTTCCCCTGACATGACTGATTTACACAACCCACAGAAAAAACCCACCCCAAGAAGAGTTGTCATTGGATTATTGCTTGTGACATTTTGAATGCTCTGGTTCAGTATTTAAGAGTTCTTGTGCTAGATTTATCTTCTAAAATGGCCTATCAATTTATTTTCAACTAATTAATAAAAACCACACTGAGATTATATTTTTCATTCCTTTTTCTTCTCTTTTGTGCAACTTCAATACCTACGTAGTATCTAGGAAATGTATGAGAGACCAGCACAGACAACACCTGGGCAGAAACCTACTGATGTTTCAGTGAAATTTTCTTCACTAAAAAGCAGACCAGCTGAGCTTCTATGAGGTATGTTTCGCATTCTCTGTTACTAAGGAGCATAATGAAAGATGTGAAATACAGAAGGCTTGGAAATCTGAAATATCTACCTTAACTAATTTTAAGTAGTCAGTCATTTTGTACCATTTTGTTTCAAAGAGCTTGTAAATATCCAAGTGTTAACAGATGAAACTATAAGAGCGACGACACTTATACCAGGAAAAAAAGAAGAGCAGTCCAAAGCTCAAGGACAGAAGAGGCTACTATATGCTTTTCTCAGGATTATCTCTCAGATCAGCTTAAATAAAAGCGAAAGGAATTGTTTGCGTGACTCACCACTTCATCTTTGTCCTCAGGAGTCAGCTGAGCAGAACTTCTTTCTTCTTCCTTCTTGACTGATCTCTCATATAAATCACTGACAATGAATGAGGGGTAGTATCTGTCCTTTAGAGTTTCGTAAACATCTGCCTGAATTCTGTAGAATACTTCAATGCCTTTATTTCCCACAAGACTTTGCTGTATTTCTTTATAAAGGGATTTTTCCACAGGTATTTCTCTGCTTTCCACAAAAAAATTCTGATAAATTTCACTCACCAGCTGAGGTATTTCAGGCTAGGAAGCAAGCAGGGAGAGGGAGGGAGAAAAGAATAATGAAAACATGTTAAAAATATCAGGATGACTCAGGATCCAGGTGCATAATTAGAAGGATAATCAAGCTAATTTCCTATCCAGATGATGAGAACACAGATGTGAACCTCTTACTGAGAACAAGCTTGCTGTCTGCCTGTGCACCTATGCTAAGCAGTCAATTTTACAAGCTAAGTATTTATATTTGTCAGGACAAAAAACAGCTGTGCTCTAAAATTGTCATAGCTTCCCAACCCACTGCTTTTAAAAGTATGCTCCAAAAGCTGGTATTAAAAGGAAGAAAAGTGCTAGAGCAACATTGTGGTCACCGCTTTATGTTTAGATTGTAAATCTCAGCTGTATCAGCTCTATCTTCTGCTGAATAGGATCAATTCACTTTATATATGACCATAATTAATTTCAGAGACAAAAGGGAAAAAAAAAAAAGAAAAAAGAAAAGAAAAAAGCACAACTGAAGATATATTTACCAGTACAAGAGGCTGGGTATTTTCACGGAGCATAGGATTGAACTTTGCATTAATGAACGGGAATGAGGAAGTAATGCAGCACAGCCCATGATCAGATCTCTAAATCGTCATCTCCCTAAACTGATCTGAACTAAAAAGGCTTTATCCACTCCCTCAGTAAAGCACAATGTTCTTGTCTGCCTCGTCTGACAATATCACAGCCACCTGGCTGCAGGACATTACCTTTTTGTAATCAAAGCTGCCCCTGTAGTGGCATATACATACAGATACATATATGTATACATATAGTTTTGAAAGCAAAGAGCAAAATCACAGCTGAAAGGTCATAAAATTATTTATAGCATCTTTTCCAATCACAAGCAGTTTCCAAATCAAAACTGATTTATAGAACTCTCTTCACAGCACCTGACAAACCATTTTTATGAACACTCTCTAGCTTGAGTTGGTTGTTAGTCATTTCTTCTGTTTGTATCAATGGGTCACTCCTCACATTCAGCAGTTTGCCACTTTGTTTTCAGGATGTTATTTTCCAATTAACTAGAACCTTTATACATAAGAGGGCAGTAAAATTACAGTGAATAAAAAGATACCCAATATCAATAATGAAATTCGTATTTCATGCTAGTGTGAATCCTGGAGGTTTAATAGTCTCCCCCAAAAATCCACCTCACTGCTCACAAACTGCAAATTTGTCCTCTACTCTTGCTATACAGCAATGGTTCAGGATACTTCTTGCAACTTTAACCGGTATTTCCTATCCTTGTTTTATGGTTCTTATTCCTACTTTATTTTAGCACAAATTACAATATAGCAGTGTTTCTTCCCTCTAAGAATAGTGTGGGATTCCTGGAGAAACTTACCTGCTTATATATAGCAACAGAATATGGAGAGGTCTTTCAAAGCAAAACCTCTTTTCCAGAAGGATTTTAAAAACATACATACACATGTTTACACTGTTTTGGATTGAATGGGCTACCTGTAATTAGCAAGATGAGAAGCTTATGTACAGACTATCCCATGGGAATGCACTTCTAGGTTTCACGTGAGCTGATACAACTAAAGCCAATATATTACTGCGAGTTTACTCTCTGGTGGAGGGGGAAATAATTGTACTACTTTTACATATAAACTATCCCTTTTATGGGATGTTGCTACACCAAACAACAGTAAATCATCATCGCAACAGCCCACAAATTTTAATTGCAATATTATCTTCTAATATTGACATGAAGTAGTAAAAAAAACCCAAATTGCTTAGCACCCATCCTATGTTATTGATATTTTAAGAAGATCAAGAAATTTCCTAACATGAAGAACACAACAAGCAGAGATTGCTGTTAATGTACAAAGCCATATAGGCTTGCAATTTCTCCCACCTTGTTAGCACTCTTCAAATTCTCCACAGACTCCCAAAGACCGATCAAAGCCACCTTGTCCATCCTTTCCATATAGATTCGGAAGTGCTCTCGGTATGAAGGGTTGGCCAAAATTTCTTCGAACTGAAGAATCTGAAGAAGGAAAAACTAAGAATAAAAACTGGGAAAATGCCTAACTCTAGCTTCTCTCCATCCCTTATGGGGAAATCTTTTCACTTGATGTGCCCACGGAGCACTATGAATTCCACAGACATGTACTAGATCCAACTACAAAGACCTTCTACAGTAATAGTTTTGCTTCATTAAAAAAAAAAAAAAAAAGGAAGTTAAGTACTTAGAAGATAAATGCATCTGTGCTCTTGTCAGACAGTAAATATCTCCACATCTTTGTGACCAGGAAACAAGACTACATTCCAAAGGAATAAGATGGCATTTCAAGTCACTCATTAAATGCTATTGTCAAAAATTTAACTTCCAATGTTCCTGCAAAGCAGAGGAGCCAAGCTGGAAGCAAACTGATCTGTTCTTTACTTCTTCCAAGCAAAGAGTAACACCACAGGCCACAGAACTTTGAGATGTATCTCAATTATTACCAGGGACACAGAGAAAGATGGAATACCTTGGCAGCCAGGGCATTTGCTGGCCAGTTGCCACTAACTGTTATTGAAAAACATCTATCAGAAATGCAGCCAGGAAAGAGTATGTTCTGTGATAAAATGCTCAGGAGTTCTCCTGAGAAGAGAGACAAGGGTGTACATCAGGCAGAACAGGAAATGAAACACTTCCCATACCCAAGCAGATGCTGCAGCCATTAAGATGTTGCATAAAAAGGCAATTATCACTTCCTTATCCTCTACTATTTTTGTGAATCTGAGCCTTTTCTTTAAGACAAATACCCAAAAAAAACCCCTGACAAAATGAACAGAACTTCCCATGATGAACAAAATGAACAACCTTGTCTTTCTTTGAAAAATAGGACCAATTTTCAGAACATCTGATCAAAACCAAACACCCCTTCCTCTTCAGCTTTTCAGTCTTGCAGCTGAACCAGTTTTCATGTCTCTCATTTAGTGCCATTACTTATATTGCCAGGAATCCAAATACACCAACCAGAGTGGTTTTGGTCTCTTGCTTTGTTACTCAATGGCACCAACCAACTCACACCCTTTTCTTTGAAATGAAAAGCAGGTCCTTAAGCACTGGGGCCCATGAGTCTTATCTTCCTATGATTCTGCATTTTATAGTAAAGTTCATTGGTATGGAGCAAGATATGAACTCCGAGATTGAGGCATTAATAATTTCTCTATTATGGGTTTTCCAATACCTTAATAATAATACAATTCAGGTCATGTATCAGCATCTCTTTATTTTTGGGAAGACAACTAATTTTTCTAAATCTAATACCTGTGAGACTCTAACAACAAGTTACATGTAGGAAAAACAGTTTCCTGGTCTCACATGGGCACACACTCAATTACTTCCTCAATGAACCAAGTTAAGGTGGTTCTTTAACAACTGCAGCCACTTATGTTTTGTCTGAAATAGCTCCCCCCAAATTATGGGCAGTGTTTAAGTAAATTATATTTGTCTCAGCTGAAATGCTCATTTTCATCTTCAAAGTCCATGTGCCATTCTTCTCTTCATCCTTTACCATACCAATATCTCCTGGACATGACTTACTCAGGTATATGAACATCTGCCTTTCAGAGCTCACTCTATAATCCTCACTGAATGACAGAGTGCCTTGCTTAAACCAGGCTTAATACAGAAATGATGATCAGGCTGTCAAAGAGAACAACACAGAGATGACAATTTAAAGGCCAATCTGTGGTTTAGCACTGCTGTGTGTCATCATACTTTCTATGCAATCATTTTACCAAGGACAGTGATTTAAAATACAAGTGGGAGAGGATCTTCCAGCCTCTTGAACAGATGTCTTCATCTCAGGGACTGTCAGCTCTGTAAATAATAGCAGGAGTAATACACCACAACAGGGAGTATGTGGTGTCACTTCTTGAGTGAGAGGTCACCTTGGTCTCTACGCCTCTATTATCCACGGTATCCCCACTCAGACTGCCAGCAAGGAGGGTAACTAACAAACCTCCCCTCTCAGAGGTAACTGGGGTTAAGTGCTTCTGCAGGGAGCAAGGCAAGTGCAAACATCTCTCTTGCCTAGAAAGGGCCCATTGCACCAGTGCGCCGGGGTAATCAAAGTGGTGGTACCTAATAACAGTTTTACACAAATCTCCTAATAGTAACCTAGCAAACTAAAACACTTTAAAAGCTAAATTAATGGGCAGAAAAGCCTATTTAAATTTTTTTCGCAGAAATGAGACGTCACAAATGTTTTCTTGGTTTTTCTTTGTTTAAGGCTAGACTATCCTGGAATTATTTAATATGTTTCAAATGCTGTTCTAAAAACATTATATTACAGCTTCAGTGACAACAATGGTAGACACAAGAGGTTTTTAGTTTTGAGGTGGAAAGTTATCACAAAATGCACGTGTGCTGGTTTTGGCTAGGAGGAGTTAATTTTTTTCCCAGTGGATGATATGGGGCTGTGTTTTGGATTTGTGCTGAACACAGGGTTGGCAATACAGAGATGATTTTGTTATTGCTGAGCAAGGCTTACACAGAGCCAAGGCCTTTTCTGCTTTTCATACTGCCATGCTGGAAGTTGGGGGTGCATGGGTGGTTGGGAGGAGACACAGCTGGGACAGCTGACCCAAACTGACCAAAGGGATATTCCAGACCATAGAACATCATGCTCAGTATATAAAGTGGGAGGAAGAAGGAGGAGACGTTTGGAATGATGATGTTTATCTTCCCAAGTAACCATGACATGTGATGGGGCCCTGCTCTCCTGGAGACAGCTGAACACCTGCCATCCCATGGGAAAGGAATGAATTAATTCCTTGTTTTGTTTTGCTTGTGTACATGGCTTTTGCTTTCCCTATTAAACTGTCTTTATCTCAATCCATGAGTTTTCCAGCTTTTACCCTTCTGATTCTCTCCCCAGTCCTGCTGGTGGGGGAGTGAGAGTGCGGCTGCATGGGGCTTTGTCAATGGCTGGAGGTTAAACCATGACAGTCCTTTTTGGTACCCAACCATTCTGTGGAGGATCTTTCCATGTAAAGAAAGAGGTTCTGTAGTAAGTTGTAATCCTGAGCAAAAGATCATTTTATAACTCAGTATCACTACAGATTAGAGTACAAAGCTCTAAGCTATGCTGGCACATCTGCAGGCATTAGGGCATGTGTACACACCCTCAAACCTAATATCCAGTTAGCAGATATAATCTTAGAATTATTAGCCTCAACAGCAACCCTTCAAATCCTTTTAACTCAAGAGCAGCTTCTGGGTTTGGAAAAACCAGCTGCTTTACTGCTGCCACATCAACTCCCTGTTCGAACAGGAAAGTAACTAATATACCACAGCTGGTCACAGGCTCGGCCTAAGACTAGGAGGGGTTTAGTTTTTTTATTTTTTTCCCCAAGCAGGCTGCTTTAACCAGCATCCCTATCATACGCACACAGAAGAGCCTTGTTCCTGGCCCTACAAAGCAGATACTTGGTTCTGGCAGGCCCCTGAAGATAGACACAACCTCTCTCTGTAGAGGAACACAGAACAACTAGCTAATTTGGAAGGGTCTCCATGGCCACCCCACATGGAATAGATGCATTGTACTATATTTCTTTGCAACACACCAGCTTCCAATTCACTACAACCACATTGGCTATAATGAATAAACATAATAAATCTGATAACAGTACTGCAGATGGTTGGGATGAACAGAATTTGGGTCACTAGGGGAGATTTTCTGATGGGATGATGGCACACAGACAGACTGCAGGACTTCTGGTTGCTGCTTTGGATTTTTGGTAGAAGACAAGAACAAGTGGAATGTAAAAAATAATTCTGGAAAAATACGTCTGTCTTTCCAAGTTGCATTAACTAATGCTTTGTCTGTATACTGACTAAAATTACAGCCTATGTTCATCTTGTTATGTTTTAAAAAGAGGTAAGTCATCAGAAGACTGTCACATAAAGCAGTAGCTGAACTAAATGTAATAATTAGTTACATATCAGCAAGTACATGCTAACTACATAAGCTACCTAGCTATTTTACTGCACATACACTAATGTAAAATCCCTGTCTTGAGACTCACATGTTCACGAACATACTTCTGTCATAAGAAATCCCATCTTCAGGCAATAGGGGAACAACAATTGAAGCTTGTTTTCTTAATATTCCCAAATTCTGTAACATGACATATCCTGACATAACATGATCTTACAACCTGAAGCTCGGAAATCACAGAGAAAATTTGGTAAGTCACCAGTTAAATCAACACCTATCCACAGACGAATGGAAGCCAGTTCTGCAGGAGTTTCATCTTAGTCCTCATCACTGGATTGTGGACATGAACTGGTTCCACCTCAAAATACACTCAGACAGTTTCCTTGCTATTTCACAAGTAGTTAAGGATCAGATCCCCAGATCTCCTCCTACAATTCATGATTCACAAAACAGTTCCACTACAAAGATGCTGTGACTCCATATGTCAAATTTCACAGACAAGGTGGTGTGGCTGTTGTACTGAACACGGGGTGGGGGGGGGAAATTGCTTGCTGAATGAACACAGACAACAAGAACTCAATTACTGAAGTACTGTGCAGGCCTAGTTTCTAAGAAAGTGGACTGAAACTGCACTGATCACTAAGAAGAGATGCTTCATATACTAAACTAATTCGAACCGTATTTTCTCTGAAAACAAATCTAACATCATGGGCAGAGTACAAACCAGTATCAGAGCTAATGACAGGATTCAGATTCAGAGAGTAGCTGTGGTTTGTCTGTTTGTTTCTTTGCTTATAAGCATTTGATTATAATTCACATATTCAGGATTTCCCTAGAGAATGTGGATTCAGGAAAATGAGGTGAGTGAAAAGTGTACTAAGTCAAATGAATAAAAATCACAACACTGCATAATCAAAGCAGAAACTGACACTGTTTTGTAATTATCTTCTGCTGTGAAAGAAAAAAAAAACGTATTTCAAAGCACATAAATTCTGTTTCTTATATCTGTAAGAGGAGAACGTTGACAGCTCCAAATAATCCATCTCCATGCATTTTTACCAGCAATGCTATTACTCCCCTACTACTGCAGTAAAGAGAAAGCTTTCTGTAGGACGCATAGCTGAAATCAAAATACTAGTTCACTAGTCAGTTCTTTGTTCAACTAGTATAAAAAATTCCACAGAGTTTATAACATATTCAAGTTTCTGTACCACATTTACATAAAATATTAATTCAAAACACCACCAGTAAATGGCCATTTCTGACCTTTTTCATGCAAGTTGAAGAAAAGAAAGCAAACTTAGTTTCTTCTGCACAGACTAGTTATTCTACAAGTTAGATGCTACCTTAACAGAAAAGCTGACACAAACTCTAAAGAGAAATTATGGGCCACCAGCAGCAACATACCAAGATTATCTTATCTACTAAATCCCAAACAATGCCTTTCCCTTTTGCCTAGAAAAAAGCTTGAATGTTCAGTCAATACTGCCCATATAGGAGGAGCCAACATTCAAAATAACACTGGCTGCCTTGAAATGAGAATCCAGACTGCAGCTGCCTCAGTGCTAAAAGAGGATGGGAAGAAGCAACAGTGAAGAGAGACTGCTTCCTCAGCTAAGCCTTGGGCATTTTTCTGTGCTCAGAAGGGGACAGCATAGCCTCTCTCTCATCTGGCCTTCATTCAACTTCCCTCAGCTTCTTTCATGGCAACTGAGAGTTGGGGACAACAGAAGAGAGAAGCAGTTTTCCTATTTTCTAAACTGACATGGCTATGGAGGGGGTTCTAGGGCTTCATCACAGAAACACATCAAAAGCTTAGAAGCAGAGCTGCCTCAGATCCCGTTGTTTCCACCATCACTACAACAAATGCCTGTGCAAGGAGTCTTCATTTCTATTAATAGTACCATTAACTCAGTATGGAGCTGCTCATTAGTATATTTGCAAAATATAATCCCAGGTCAGAAAGTGCCACCAAAAAACTACTGGTTTATAAAACATGCAACATGAACTTCATTAATTCCTTTGATCCTAATTATAATAATATATTTTATTATATTTCTGGCCAACCCCTACCCCTATCCAGTGCAACTTCACTACTGGACTCCATTCCTGAACAAAGTTCGTAAGATCTCAGCAGGCACCAAAAGTGGCATCAGTGGCTCATGCAGAGCTGCCACATGCTTCCCTCTTTCCTTTTCTCCTTGGCACATCTTGCTACACCCAACTTCAGGAAAGAGATCAGGACTGCCTTGGCACAATCTAAGACAGACCATCTGAAATCATGGTTTAAGGACAAGTGAGGAGTAGGGAATTGTTCTGTTTCAGAATCTTGCTCAAGAAAAACAAAATATAAATAGTAAGAACTATTTCTTCATCATACTACTTTTTCTTATATGCTAATATTAACATGTAACAGTACACGTTACAATTATTATAAGGACATAACAAAAGTTAAAGATCCCTGCATGAAGAGAGAAGTTATCATCTACCCAAACGAAAAACATAAAATCTTCTTTCACATTTGAATACAGCAGCTTTGCCCAAAGGGGGCAGAGAAGATTACACAAAGTCGTCACTAAAATTATTAAAGTTTTGCAAGACTAACTAGAAATGATTTTATTTTTGTAGATGCTGACTAGTACAACAGTAGTTTTTTCTAATTCCAGACTATAGTGATATTGAAAACCAGCATTCAGTCAGCAGCTTTACCAGAGTTTTTCTGCAACAACTACCCTGGATTTTGTCAGCTGCCTTCCATAATTGTTAGCTTTTGAATAATTTAGTATTTCCAAAAACCACAGGTATTTCCTAAAGTGAATACAATCAGGGCCAAAGAAATACTGCATGTATGTTGGCAAACTTTTACTTGAAAGCAAGTTGCTACTTTCAGGAAGGCTGTTACCATGTCCTTATTAACTCCCTGTATGCAGTATATCTGAAAAATCACAGATGCTTACAATCCACTCAGTCCTTTACGAAGTTTCACATTTAGCTACATTCCAAGCTGAGAGATCAGTAAGTCATTTTGGGTACTTCAGTAATCTTTTCCCAAGACAAATAAACTGTGCAGCAACTAATTTGTGCTTGACTCCTGGGGGAAGGGTGGGATTAAAGACAGTGAGGTAATATGAGCCAGTGCTAACACATTTAGAATAACCTTCAGACAATGCAATTTATACCTTCTGACTCTGCGGGCCGTCACCTTCATCAGAAATGCCATCTTCCTGCTGATCATAAGCAGGCCCTCCCAGGAGCCTTATTCTCTTCTCACATTGCTTCTTTGCCACCGTCAGCTGATTAATATACCTCTTCACATTCCGAGCCCTTAGTAGGTCAGCTTTCATTGCTGCAGTTTCTTTTCCCTTTGAATCTAAGAATAAAGCAAATCAGAGACAGTATTTTACAACATGAAAACATCATTGTACCATTGCCTCTGTGGCCTGTCTGATCAAAGCATCTGTCTTTCAGGAATCAACTATGCACATGAGCACAGATACTGGCAAGTTTGTATTTGAAACAGAATGATGATTTTGAAACATTCTCCAATGATAACTCAAGGGTTTATACAAAATTGTTCAGAAAAAGTCCTTATTCCAGCACAAAGCGAAACCTGACCCCTCCAGCTCTCTTTCCATAGCTTGTTGGAAAACACAGGCACAAGACCTCTACTACAGAATGTACATGTTGTTAGGAAGTTACCTACAGCCACGGCATATGATAACCCATGGAGATGATGGCTTATGCACCTTACTGAACGTAGCACTGACTGCCTAAACTCATGAGAAACTGAGTTCTATCCCCTCCAGCCCAGCATGACACATTCCCACACATCTTATTTGCAAATCCAAATTTCTTGAGCCTGACCTTCTCCAGACAACACTGATCAAAGTTCACTCAAATGACTAAGAAAAAAATCTTATGATGTCATAATGTCAAGACTGCACAGTACTGTTAGAAAGTGAAGTAACATGAAGATGATAGCTGAATTAGACTTAGTAATAACTGGTGTAATATTTGTGCATTCTACCTTCCAGCCTCTTCAGCTATTTACCAGGGTCTAAAAAAAGCAGCAGCAGATAAAGTAGATATAAACCCCTATTGTGTTGAAATCAGGATACAACTGATTCACATTTATACACTGATTTTATTTTCCTCTTGTTCAATGAAAACACTCCTGTTTTTTTGGGCTGCAACTATTGCTCGGCAGCAAAGCACATGAGTTGTACTTGGCTCTGGATTAATTGATTGCTCAGGGATAAACAGTAAAGATCTATTCTACTATGTTTTCAAAATATCAAATGCTAATAAAATAATTTAGATGAAAGCAGCATTCAATTCTCAAAACAGTTGCTGTTAAGAAACAACCACATAGGTTTGTGAATACATACACAGCAAAAAGGAAGTGTCTCAGAAATTATTTAAAATATATATTTTAAACACATTTCTAATACATTAGAGTACCTTCTCCTTTTAGGACTGTTTTCATTCTTTTTTTTCCCCCTCAAAGCCACATGTAACCACCACATGCAACCGTAAGTTTTGTCATTTGCATACTTAAGGACAACTCAAGGTACATGGAGCTCCCTGAAGTTCTACATGTAAGTCCAGATATTCTCCCATTATCTTTTCCAATACTTTCAATCTCACTTTATTTGCTGCATGTATCTATCTATGTTGGTAAGGATCCTTCCCAATTCAAATACTGTTAGTGTTTTAATGGATAAGCATCATTTGCACACGAGCTGCCATATAATAATGAACTACAGAGATAATACTCACTGAAGCAAATGATAAAATTACTTTACTAGGAAAAAAAAAAAAAGCCATCTGTTTTCCTGGCATGTTATCTCCACAGGGAAGTCAACAGAGCACTTAATTTAGTGTTTCAGTTCCCTGACCAGAGGTACCAATATTAATGAGAGAAAAGGAAAGGAAAAGATCTTAGGACAAAAGAATGCTCTCCCTCAATTAAAAACATTTACAGCTATTACAAATACATCAACAGTAGTTTAAAGTGAAGATTAAACCCCAACATTTCCCTCCTGCACTTGACACTAAGATGATTTTTAGAAGTTCTCAATTCTTTCAATAGCTTAAATGCTTTGGGCTTAAATGCATGCTTGAAATCCCACACTTTCAAAAACCCACAAACAGTACTATGCAATGATCATTCAGCCTTCTTAAAACAATAAGTACCCTTCCTGGTGAAAACAAGGCATTCTTGGAGGGTTCTCAAAGCAAGCATGTCTACTTTACCTGAAGTCTTATCATCCTGTGATTGCAGCAGGCATCCAGGAGAGATTAATGATCCCTACATCCCACCTGCTTCCAATGATTAATTACTGTATTAACAAAGACCCTTCAAAAACATTTACCTCAGCTCTTCATATCCATAAGGAGCCACTCCACCTAAGAAACGCTCAGGGCAGGGATGAATATCACACTGCCAGCCTGTTTCTGATCCATGGATAAACAGGGCTTTACAGTCACTGTAAAGCCTGGCAGTGACATCTCTCACAAATAAACAAGAGCCTGATGAGGAGCAGCCTATCATGGAATGTGGCCAACAGTGCAGGAAAGACAGCACGGAAGCGTGCACAAACACTGTACATTACTTCCCTCTTCCACATCACAAAATATAATCTAACAGAAATCTGGAGGAACATTTTTAGCTCAACTGAGGAAGGTTAGGTGGATCACTAGTTTTCTTCAAACCCTGATCTGCTTTTGAGATTTTGAGGTGCCAGTAATGTAACTGTGAGCATGGGAGTCAGTTTGTACTATACAGTAAAATAACATCCACTGCGTACAGTCTCTGTCTGTAAGTCCTTGCATCCCCTTTGGTCACATGTATCAGCAGTCAGCCTCTTCCCTCCCTCTTCCATTGATGAGCACCTCTCCAAACCAACTGTGGACAAGACGCATTACCCTCAGTAGCACACACAAAGAATCTCAGGAGCAGAAAGAAAAATTTCCTCTATAAAATTGATTTGAAGGTCACAAATCAAAATAAACAAATCTACCACAATTAGAATCTGTAACCTTTACCCTCATCCACATGGATTCCCTCCACACTAACTGCTTGAGCATGAGCTCTTTAAGCCTTGCCGGAAAGCTATTCAAAACTAATTGCATATGCATGTTTAACCCTGTATGGTGGATGCAGCTGGGGGGAGGAATCATAATACAGTCTTGTCATAGTTAAGTTAGATGGCATCTGTAATGCACTGAAACACACAAGTATCCATTTCATTTCACTCTAAATTATCATCTTGACAAAACCCACACATCACAACCCACACACCCATGTTAGCCTGGAGCACCAGTTTCTAAAAAAAAAAGTCCCTTTTTACAGCTGAACGTTCAAGCCTCTTCAGAACCACAGTACCTGAGAGGCCTAACCAGACAGTTCTGGTTCTGTGCTACTTGTCAGCTTCGTTAATAAAAGCAAATATCCAGACACCCAGCGGGAAGGCTTATCAGGAGAAATCTACTGCAACGAAGCAGATCTCTCTAAAGAGAAATGGCTGCTTATTTGATCTGTCTCACAATCCCTGCTTGAAAAGGAGTAGTTTTCTCAACAGGGATGCCCTGGGGTTGATTACACTGTGGTGTCTGAAAAACAGTCCCATTCAGTCATCCAAGGGTGTTTTCCAGTCATGTTGTGAAGTCACATGTCAGGTAGAGGGCAGAAAAAATTAAGTGGCAAATCGAACAAATCCCTTTACAAAAATGCCTTGAAAAAAAAAAGAAAATCTGTTGAGAGCTGTGCTCTGTGTTGTCCTGAGACAAGGTATGTGACTTCACGGGGGTATGGCTTTGTTTTAATAACAACTAGTAATAAGAAATCCTTACTAAAATTCTTGTAGGATCCTGTAATACAATATCAGTATGAGAAGAAACAAAAATGTGTTTTAAAATTAGAACTAGTGTATTTAAACAGCTTTTTATTCATATTACAGCAAATATCAAGTTGTAGCAACTTACTTTTGTTGCTATTTCATGATTGGTATGTTTGAAACATTTTCTTTACAAAAATTAAGATTTACTCTTGCTTCTAGAAACTCACATCCTCTGTCATTCATACTACAATGCCCAATCCATGTATTTGTCTTCTTACAAACGACTTTAATAGATCAAAATGCAGTAAACATTTTCAGATAAGCATTTCTAGCCCTTCAAAATCTTTAGTAGATAAACTCTGTAGAAAAACAAACAAATAACCAAAACACCAAACAAACAAACAAAAACCCCACAAAAAAACAAAGGAAAAAAACCACCCCAACCAAACAAACCAAAAAAAACCAAAAAAACACCAAAACCCTGAAATATCTAAAATCTAGCTTAAATTTGGTTCAGTACTTAGAAGGAATCCTTATCAAAACATAAGAAGAGAAGAGAGTTTTATAGTTAAAGATGTATAAAGATGTGATTCTTCCATAGCACATGTGACTATAGAAGAGTACTCTCTGAAAATATCAATAGGAAGAAAAAACAAACACAAATTAAAAAACAAAACAAAACAAAAACAGAACTACCACCAAAACCAAGCCTTCTAGCCTTCTCCTACAGTCACTGCTTTAGTGATTGCGATCATTTTGGAAAAATATACATAGGAAGACAGTTGGAGAAGGAAGGCAAATACACAGATACACCAGATTCTGTGCTTTTGTACCAGTGTAAATGAGGAAAGCAGTGCAGTGTCAGCATGCAAGGTAACAGCTTCCATTTACAGTGGCCTGCACTGGTCCAAAAAACCTATAACGTGCCATTTTTTAACTACAAAGGGTTTAATACAATGATGCTTAGAAGTACTTTAAAGTATTTTCTGATTTTATTAGAGGGCCCTAACAGCTAAATATTTTGCCAATAGGTGGCACCAGCACTAGTTAAATCAAGTGTAAAGAATGCTATCCTTACTGAGGAACAAGCCTTCCAACAAGTTTCCAACACTGCTGGGCACCAACATTAAACACGTACTTTGGTATCACCAGATAAAAATAGTAAAGAGGTCATATAACTACGTAGTTCCTATGAGAAGTCATCAGTCTGAAAGCTGGTCCTCAGTCTACTCATCCTTTAATAATAGACACCTAATCCTTTTATAAAAGAAAAATTTTGGTCAGTTTTAGAGACTTAATTATGTCTCCTCAACCAGTAGCAAGGGTACACAATCCTGCTCAGGCATATTTATTGCTAGTCATGCAGTTGCACAAAGCTTCCTTGGCTAAGCAAAGCATAAGTAGTATAAACAGTAGCTAAGCACTTGATGCTGCAGAGTAATGGCCACTTAAGTTGCACTAACTACTCCTCAGTTTTTTTGCTGTACCTTTTTCTATTGAAAACACTGCCTCAGAAAGCTCCCATGGCTCAAAATGATAGAGGCTCTCATGTGGGACCCCACCTGCATTCAGCTCTGGGGACTCCAGCACAGGAAAGACATGGGCCTGTTGGAGCAGATCCAAAGGAGAACCATGAAGATGATAAGAGGGATGGAACATCTCTCCCAAGAGGAAAGGCTGAGAGAACTGAGGTTGTTTAGCCTGGAGAAGAGAAGGCTCTGGGGAGAGCTGATTGCAGCCCTTCAATACTTAAAAGAGACCTGTAAGAAAGATGGGGACAAACTTTCTAGCAGGACACCTTGCTATACGACAAGGGGTAATGGCTTTAAATCAAAAGTGGGTCAACTTACTTAAGATAAAAGGAGTAAGTCTTTTACAATGAAGGTGGTGAAACACTGGAACACGTTGCCCAGAGAGGTGGTAGATGCCTCATCCCTGGAAATATTCAAACTCAGGTGGATGGGGCTCTGAGTAGCCTGATCTAGTTGAAGAGGTTTCTGCTCATTGCCAGGGGGTTTGAGTAAATGACCGTTAAAGGTCCCTTCCAATTCAAACCATTCTATGATTCTATATCCATGTACATATTATTCTATGCTTGCTCTACTCTTATAGTTTGAGAGTGGACATCAGGCTCAACAGAATGCTGGCCAGCCAAAGTTCAGCTGGCTCTAGCTGAACATCCAGGCACTAAAGAAGCAATTACATTTTCAGGACACTACTTTGCCATAGGAAAAAGGAAATAGTTACCAGTAAGACTCTCTCTCACCAGCTGGAATCAAAGCTAAGAGATGTCCACGACACTAAAAGCAAGAACTCAGTTTACCAGTAGGAAAGGAGAGACTTATATACCTCCAACACCCATGCTCACACATCATTACAGACATGCACTAGGTACTGTGGCAACAGATTAAAAAGAGAAAGATAGAATAAGACTGTGGAAACACACTTCCATTTTGCATAAAGCTTACATTTAGTTATTCACCATTAAATCCAGGGGTAGCATTATGCTCTAGCATCCAGAAAGAGAAATATCGAAAGGTGACATTTAAATAGTGCCTGTTCTCGAAAGATTTCAACAATCTTTGTATTAGCAATGACCTGTGCTAGGGTTTTTTTGTTGGCTTTGGTTTGTTTTAAGGAAGGTAGCACAGCTCTTTTCTTTAATCTTTTCTTCTTAATATTCAGGAACATATTAGATTCATTAGCATATTATGCAAAATGTCTCTATCTACTTCAGGAAAAACAAGACACAGAACAGCCTTCAGGACTAGATTTTAACCCCCTACAGTTTTGATAGCCCTCTTGAAGTTTATTGTACATAGATAAAGCCTGAACATTTTTGATAGATGAAAACCTTAGTGGAATAACTGAAATGGCTTAGAAATCTGCCCTAAATACGTGTGAATTATAAGAAGATTGTATTGCATGCCTCTGTTGGACATACTGTTCCACATGTGTCAAGCAAAAAAATGTCACCTTTTTCTTGAGACACAATGTGAATTACTATTGGCTATTTAATAAATCAAAGGTTTAGCCACAATAGTCCCACTGGCTAACACAGCCAGCAGTGGTAATCAACCCTTAAATGACATAAAAGGTTGCCATAAGGTTGAACTAATAATAAAAGTCCATACCATAACACAAAACTTCAATGGACCGGTTAGTGCAATTTCTGTTGGATTTTTTTTTTTAAATATGGATAGAAGTCAAGAACCCATAAAAATGCAGAATCAATTTCACCTCAGAATAAGTGGAACCAAATCTATAATCTTTTTGTATCTATTCTGCAGTACCAGACACTTGCAGCTTCAGAAAAAACATCTTCTGTTCAGGGTTTAGAACACTGGATAGTTAAATAGATGAAATCAAGTGAGACAGAGAAGAGTGAGACAGTAATTAATTGTAGGAACCTAAACTGTATAAAAATATTCCCCAAATCAATTCTTGTCTCAAAAAGACCAATGGCAGCACAAATGGAAATACAGGCTTAGCAAGATTGATTTTTCATAATGTACTCAGAGTTAACTTCCCTGTTTTCATTTTATTACTTTATGAAACAGACTTTCATTAAGTTAACTTTCATCTGAGAAATATTAATGCCAATATCTATAATGTACACTTGAATTAAAACCAGTGCCTACTTTTCCTTTTATCTTAGTTTGCAATAAGCAACATATCCTACTGGAATGCACATCCAGTTCTATTTTAGAATGTAAACAAAGTCTATTTGTCTAAGCAAAAATCTGGTCTGTAATTTTGCCATTAGTATCATCCCCTGAAGATATACCACAGTTTTGCTACATTTCGAGAACCACAAAAGCAGTATATATAATAAATGTAAGTACAAATATAAGATGCATGTGCTTTTAAAAAGGCAGATATTTCCAAAACATTATGGAAGGATTTAAGAGCACTCTTTATTGTAACACAAAAATGAAGAGTCAAAATAAAGTCTGACTGAATTATGTTGTACCATTCCTTCTTCTGTGCTTTGAAAGGAGAACAGACTGAAACTTTGAAGAATGGATTGTATGAAAAAGAAAGAGGAAACAAGATTCTCAGCATAAGAATTTGTAATGCCAGAAATCCTAGCTGCAGTAAGCTGTAAAAAAAAAAACCCAAAAAAAAAACCAAAAAAAAAAATGCATCATAGATATGACCTTTCTCATGATCCATCAGCTTAGATGAAGACAGGGTAGGGGGATAATCACACCATGGGAGTTTCTGGAAGATTCAGACAAATGAAACATGTGAAATACTAAAGACATAGCATTCCTAAAATCTGTCTAAAAAACCCACACACACTGATTGCATATGTATGTCGGGAGTTCAAACAGCTTTTCAAAATGAAAACAACAGATGTGACTTAGCAAAATGGAATCTTACCTTTCTGCCTCTTCATTTGGGGAATATTGCTGATTGTGGTTGCCTGAACTATTTCCACTACAATTTGATACCTAGTTTTAAAAACAGTAGGGAATAAGGGTGAAGAGGGAGAAAAGAAGAAAAGATGGTATTAATTTTTTACAATGTGTTTCTCATACAGCACTTCAAAATTAATAAAAATCAAAACACTTCCAGCTCCTTCTCACCTAGAAACAGATTAATTTCTCAGTATACCTGCAACCCAAGGAGCAATGTGCACATGGAGTAGAGAAAAAACATTACCTTGAAACAAAAAGAAAACATCCAACTAACAATTATATCACCCTCTTCTCTCAACTGCTGGCACTGAACAGATAGTTCATATTCAGTAAACACAGTGTAAAGTCACACTCTAAACATTAAATGTCAGCTTTCTGTAGGAAACTAGGATGGGATTTCAGTTCAAAAGCTGTCTGTAAGGTTCTTCCAGCTAATACACTCAATACATATATGGAGTATATATAGCTTAGGAAAAGCAAAAAATTTCACTAAAACTTGTAAAACATTAAAGTACTATGCTCCAGGAATAATTAAAACATGTTTATTACCTAAAACTATACTACACATAACAGTAGACCATTAATGCAGCTAGCGAACTGAATTTTAAGTAACACTGATTTTTCAACTAACAGGTACTATGCACTCAGCAAAGAAAATGACTGTCAGTTAAACCTTTCATAAATGTCAAAGACCTGGTCATAACAAACATTCAAATTCTTCTCAGTGCACTTACTTTGGTAGCTATCAATACTGGTAAGAAAGCAAGCATTATAGCGAATTTGCTAACTATCAAGTTAACTCCTAGATGAAAGCTGAAGCTCCTGGAAAGGTTGCTATTTCTGTGACTACTTTTTCTCCATTTAAGAAAGAACCTCTGATCCTTAAAAAATATTTCCCTTCTTCCACATAAACCTTTATTTCACCAGCATCACTCAATTCCCTCCATTTCTCTTGCCTCCATAACTCTTTTAGGATTTTGATTGTCTCCAGCTCTTTCTACACACACACAGTTTTATACACACAGCATACACTCACTCACAACTACACTTCCAGAATTAATTTTTTTTCTACAGCAATCTTTAGTCTACCCAAATCCTTCAATTATCAAGTTGAAACCTGAAAATCTGTCTGCAAAACTTTAATTTTTCTAACCCTATTTCCATTTGCCATTACTGTTTCTTGGTTGTTTCCATCCACCACCACAGTTCTTGCCAAGTCCAGAGGAAGAACAACCCCATAGTAAGGGTGGCATTCTGGCGTGTAAGAAGTCCCACAGCTATTTCCCTGCTCAGACAGACTTCCCAAATTATTCAGGGCAGCTCACCTGGACTTCTGATGTCTTGGTTATGTGACCTGTAAATGCACTGCAACAACACTCATTCACCTCTCTCAGGTGTTGTAGGGTAACTGTGAATATTACAAATTTATCAAACCAGGTACAGAGAATCAAGTAAATACTGCACATGGAAGGTAGTTTCCACTTTTATCTTGCAACCTTTTTCCTTCTAAATTTACCCTCATTTGTTCACATTCATGGTTTTACATGTTTTCAATACCAATACTATAACACAGCATCTCTTTTTTTTTTCTGTTCCTCATTGTATTATCTTAAGTATGGGAGATGCTCTGAGTTACATTCTCAAAGATACTATTTACTCTGTTCCTCCTAAGTGCTGGGCTCTGGCTGTAAATACTCAATGAGACTGCTGTACAACACTGCATCACAGAAACACTAGCCTAGATACACTGCCAGACCACAACCCTTTCTCCTTTAAAGTCTATTCCAAATATTCTAGCTGCTAGTGGTGTTGATGACCAAACATCTATGAAATTTTTAAATGTGATGTGTTAATTTAACTTTGAAGAAGTGACTGCACTTGATAAATTGGACCATTCATGGCCTCACATCCACATTACTTCTACCTTCCCACTTTTACCTCTTACCTATTTGTCATATTCATGCCCTTCCCTCATTTCTTAAGTGAAAGATGATATAGAGCCAGTAATAATGGTCTTTTCTTACAATGAATTCTTACCATGAATACCTTTTGCTGCTGTAATAATAAATAACAAAATAAATAGAATGGTGATCTTGAAAGCAGAAGAAAAACTATCCACCAGTTTATTTCCTTATCACTATTTGCTCTCAACTATGTTTTTAATTCAGTGTGTCTTTTATCTTTAGTCTTTTTCTGACAAAGTAAATTTTTTTCACAGCTGATGTGGAAGAATTCATCTTTTCTTCCTTATTTGTAGCAGACTTCCAGTTAATCCACGTTAACTTCAATCTAAGGGGAAATGAAGGTGAAATTTCACTGTCTAACTTTTTCTTCTTCAAAGACATAGGGATAACACACTTTGTGAAAACTTGATAACACAGGAATAAAAGTCTGCATCTCTTCATGACAAGCAATAAAGAAATGAAACATTATAAAGAGTGAGTTTGAACGACATTCATAGATAACCATACAGTGATTCCTTCTGTGAAAGCTTCACTGGTTCGTTTTTTTCCCCCAAACAAATTCAAGTTTTCAGAAGACAAAGTTATGACAGAAAAAAAAAAGAAGGACAAAATAGCTCCTCAGAAATCAGCAAATTAATTTTTATGAAAGGGATGTTCCAAAAAAAAAAAAAAAAATAGAGATAAGTTCTGCTAAGCAATAAAGTGACCGAACATTAGAGGCCCACTACAGATACTAACAAACCATAAATTCAAAAATATCTCCAAAATTAAAAGTCGTTCCTGCACCATTTAAATAAGTTCTAAAATAAAAGTCATAAAAGAAATGCAGAAAATCAATACAATATTTCTTCTTAAAGTAATGCTTCCAAGCTAGGAGAGAAACAAGATTTAGAAAATCCTCATACCATTATTATCCTTTCAGGGAGAGCTATTTGCATGGCAGAGAGCTTTACACTTGCTTACAAGGAGATCTACACAGCCTCTCTCTCTTTTCTGATTTCCTGGCCAAGAACAACACACACCCTTCACCCAGAGGTTTCCACTTACCAGCCAGGGATTTTCCCTGCTTTCCCCACCACAAATACCTGGTTTTAATCACAAGAAAGCCTAGCAAAACTTCGTTAATGAAATCAGTCTGGAAAGAAGCCTTATGGCACTTCTCTTGAGCGCTCTCACGTGCATACATCAAGGAGCACCCAGGAGTCCATGCCTTCTCGACTGTGGTCAGTCAAGAGTCTCAGGAAATGTTTATCAGTGTCTCATGGCCTTTTGAATTGAGCAAGGTATTTTATGTTTATTTTATTAAATAGATAGTAATCAATCTGCAAAGTTAAGCATGGCAAGAAAGTTTCATACAAAAATAATGAGTTTCCTAGCAGCTGTAGTGCCTTGGGATAAATTTCCATCAAAGCTAAATCTACACAGAAAATTGCTACTACTTATCTCTCTTCTTTACCAAAATGTTAGGTGACAGCATGAGCAGTAACAGGAGGAGGCTTACAGTTCATGAATGCCATGCATGGCTTAAAATAGGCACTGAAAAATTATTGCCAAATAAAAGCAAGGAAAGGAATTCTTGATGAACAGATTATTACCCAGAATAGCATCTAACTGGGAAACCTATTTATGTACACAATGTCAGTAATTTATTTGTTGTAAGAAGAAAACTGGAAGCATTTTTCCCATTCCCACCACTCCAATAGACGCTTCCTGTGCTTCTCAGTGATAATTGCACAGCAGCTTATTTATTTCTCCCTCTAACTCCTTCTTGATATATTTTCCCTGTGGTTCATGAAGAATTACAACTAATTTTGTTTTTTTTAATCCATACACCATATAGAGACCACTGTTTGGTTTTCTTGAGGCAAATCTGTAAAGTGTCACTGGTTAATCATGAAATCTTTGCTAAATATAGTACACAAATTTGAGATGACTACAGGTTGGCCCCTCTCTCTCTGAGTGCTCCCACAGTGCTGGAGCCCAAATAGAACACGAATACCTTCTCCCAAAGTGAAATGCTCTTTAACCACCATCTCAGAGACTGGCTTTATACAAAACGAGGAAGGAAGAACAATGCCTCCAAAATCAAATACTATTTCTCTTTAAAAAGACGATGTATTTTCTCAGACATTTTCTATTAAAATACTGATCAGGCTCAGACTGATCAACATTTTGCAGAGTGTAGAGGAACATGTTTCAAAATGATGATAGTTGGACTCCACAGGCTAGAAAGTTAAAACGTAAGTGCAGCCAAAACCACACTATTTCATAAACCAAACCTGCTCTCTGGTATTGCAGAACACAATTTCAAGTGACCTATCAGCTAAAAAGAGAACACATTGAGCATTAATGTGCTTGAACAACAACAACAGAAGCGTTGGGTTTCTTTTGAAGCAAGCAGATCCATTAGTGTGATTATGCTAATAAATATGTCAATTAGGTTTTAGGAAGAGTCTAATAGAGACTAATTTCTGCTCTCAGGAAAGACACACTGTCCCAGAGTAAAGAGCAAATTTTACAGCAGATGAACAATAAGTAGCCAAGCAACAGAATCATTTCACCATCACCTAAATGTATTTTCCTATCTCAGAAATGCAAGTGGTTTCAGAATCAAAGACAAGAACAAGAGAAAGTACAATGTTTTTATGCAGCCCACATGCTTCATCTTGGTTAGCCATTTCTTGGTCTGATCAAGCCAACTCTAATAGAAGTTCAGAGTCACAACAGATGACACAGAATGCACCAAATAATGTTGATATGCCCATGTATTTCAGCTGTTGCTACAGCCATTTAAGAAGACAAAGCTGACCTGCAGCAGCAACAGAAGGGAGTTGGGAAGAAATGCCAGTTCCGGCTGGTAGTAAGAGATTAGGACAAACACTCTGGAAATGGCTTCAGCAGCCCTCCAAAGCTTTGCTCTGCTCAACAAAACCAACTCAAGGACATCTAGAGAGGTTCTAAAACAGTAGTATCTCAATTCCCTGCTTCCCAATCACTTGTTCCTTATCCTTTCATATATCTCAGAAATCAGCTCAGCTATAAAGGCAAGCATAAAACGCTGGTTCTTGGGCAAGCAGGTTTGACATACAAGTAATATCTCATGTTAAGATTAAAGACATAAGTAGAAAGAGATGAGATGGGGGTTGGAATGTCTATGAAAGTGACCAGGTGCTATTTGCATTAGAAAACAGGAAGATCAAAGAAACTCATGTAGGAGCTCAGTGGTGGTTTTTTTTGATCTTTAAGGAATTCTTCAGAATTCATTAACATGTTTAAGAAGGATGCAAGTGGCAAACACCTCCCTGCAATAGTCCAAGAATACATCTTATCCAGTGGTAAAATGTGCTGGAACTCAAACCCTTCTTTCCATGTTACAGAATCATAAGCAAGCTGTTCTGAATGCTCAGTGTCCCTAGGGTCACAACAGTTCACAGCCACCAGACCACTGCAGTCAGTCATAATTCATAATGAGGGCATAACCACACATGCTAGTGGAAATTCAACATTTTAATCTAACTCTGCAGAAGCAAGCTGTAAAGAAGAGTCCAGTGTCCCTTTCCTACTTTTCAAGCATTTATACGTTTCAAAAGTACAACCATTTCCAGGATACTACTAAGCAGACTTTTTATGCATCTTCTGCCACTGAGCTAAAATGCTGACTATATGAGAGATCTAACAAATGTTGTGGCTTATCATCCTTACTCTCTCTGCTTAACCAAACAAAAAGAAATCTAAAATTAAAAAGAAAAATCACAATTTATTCAAATCTCAGTAACTGGCTGGAAAAGAAGCACGTTTAGTTTTGAATGAGCTACAGTGAAACATTAAATACCTCAGTTGTTTCAGGAACTCAACATCAGAGCTGCTGTTGATGAGCTTGATGAACTCCTCATAAGAAGGAGCATATGTGTAGTCTTTCTTCTGATGCTCATTCATCTGTTCTCTGTACTCCAGCTGGCTGAGTAGCATTCGGTTAATATAATCTGGATCACTCAGCAGTTCCACCACTGGTTTCAGTACTGAAGAAGAAAAATATTTTAAAACGAAATCCTTATGCTGAAGAATAACTGCTGTCTTTCAAAAGAAAATTGTAGATAAAAGGTAAAAATTTTTATGCAAGCTGATAAAAATCCAAAAATACAAAACCGGTCTTCTGGAACACATAGTATAATTGAGATTCCATGTACCTTCCCAATAAAATTGTTTGTTATATTGTGAAAATTGATGCACATTGACAAAGCTGAGCTCTATTTAGAAAATTCCAAGTGCTTTTGTTCTTTCTGCTGTGTGCTTTGAAGGCTATGACATTATAGCCACTATAAATGAAAATTTAAAAGTAAACGGCATCACACCATATACTTGAGACTTCAAAATTTCTGAATTTGACTTCAGTGACATAAAACATGCATAGTGTATTTATAATCACGATAAAGTGTATCTGATAAAATAAAAAGCAAAACAGAAATCCCTCAATTAAAAAAACCACTCTAGATAAATCAAAGTCTAAAATAATGAACTAAACCTAATATCATGATTCAGTTATAAACACATCCTAAAGTCTATGGATTCTATGTATCTGAATATAAAAGGGCAGAATTATTCATATAAGCACTAAAAATAATGCCAAGGAAAACTGCAAAAGTGTTCCTCTATGAAAAAAAAAATAGAAAATGGGAAAGGACAAATTGTGTTTTATCCTGAAATGTGCTTAACAGCCTGGCATCAAGTCAGGAGAGTTAAGTAAGTACATGCTTGATTTTGAGAATTTAAAGTGTCTTACTGGTTATCACATTAATTTAATTTCAGAACGTAAAAGCAGAGCATAAAGATATATATAATGAAGTTTGTAATTGCTAATATTGTATAGGTGTAAATGGTTAATCATCTCTGATCTTAGATCTACCTTTTGTTGCAAGTATTTCTGCAAGGACTATGCGCAAGCTGACAGATTGGACATCCTTTGAGGGTAGGAGACAATACACCAGGACTTGAGAACATTTTTGCAGAAATCTTACTTCTTCATCAGAGCTCCTCAAGCATGAGTGCAGCAAAAAAGGTCTTGGTGGATCTTCCTGCCTAAATGGAAAAAAAAAAAAAAGGAAGGAAAGAAGAGAGAGAACTTACAGATCACTTGTATCATGACCAGTCACTAACTGATAAAATGCTGCAGCATGAAGCACTGGGTGGGTGCTGTGCACCACTGAACACACACAGCAACATGCTGCTGGGTGAGCAAGCCCATGATAGCACAGTGTGTTGTTTGCAGATTTCTCATAAACAGGTTTTCAGATGACAGCTCTGAAAGAAACAAGGAGCAAACCTTCTGTGCCCAATACTGTTTCACAGGTGCCAATGTTTTTCTGGACTTCTCAGAACATGTTTGACAGAACGCTGCACCTTTTCTTTATATAGAAATAGCTGTAGAAGCAGAGACAAGGTACCCTAGCAGTTATTTCATGGCCACATGCCTGATGTGCTCCAGTCCATTTTAACAGCAAGGTGACCAAGCCAGTGGTTACAGCGAGACAGACACAGTGTCACCTGAGAGATGCCTTGGTAATTTACAAAGGCAGCCAGAACTGGTCTTCAGTAGGAGGCTCTAAGTTGCTACAAGGGCTTGGATCTGTCACATCTCATACCAGTGCCTCCTCCCATTTTTCATAACATCTGCTTTCTTCCCAGATCTGGAGGCTGCTGTCCTGGTTAGTCAACTGACTCTTACTCACAGAGCTGCTCCAAGCCCATCGCCTCTGTATGTGAAAAAAGTGACCAAGAACTGTATACAGTACAACCAAAAGTTTTCAGCTAGACACTGCTGTATGGCCACTAGTGACAGGCAGCATTGTATAACAACTGATTTTTACCTGTCAGTCTGGGAGGATGAAAATATGTTGGAATAGTAACAATAATTGTAATTTTGTTCTAATAATACAAGTAATTTGCCTTAAGGTGACGAAAATAAGTTTTATAACTAATTTGCAGTACAACATGAATGTAAAGATGACATTTGGTTTTGATTTGACTGAAGTCTCTTATTCAATTACAAATCAAATGTTTTGTTTGCAAAGGTGGATCATGGAGGGGGTTTCAATCGTTATAAGTAAGACAAATTTTGAAACAAGTCCCTTGGAACAGCGTGGATGTAAATACTCTGTTCTGAGGAGCAGTGGTTTATGAAGATGATGTGTAATCTCCATTATCAACCAGCCCAGGTGGTACAGCTGACTGAGCTCAGAAAGATGTTTACCTTGTTCTGGTAGGATCTTTTCTCTGTGGCAGCTAAATATGTAGTTATTTTCCTCAGTGCATTTCCATTTCTCTTGTATATTCCATACATATCCTAAAGCCTCCTCTACACCACATCAAACATTCCCCATCATGTTCTTCCCTAAAGGCATTCATTATTTATCCAAAACCAGACATGCCCCACCCAGGTAGATCACTGACAAAGTCTGGGTCATTTACCTACAGCCACCTCTTATTGTGGAAATAAAGTCTTTGTTTTCCAGACAGGTTGTCGCACCCAAAGTCAGCCACCTAGAAACACAGCCAGAAGCATACGCAAAATGCTGGCAAACAGGAGGACTTACAGGGAACATAGAATAGTTAAGGTTTAAAAAGACCTTTTAGATTGACAAGTCCAGCCATTAACCCAGGACCATCAAGTCCACCACTAAAGCATGTCCTTAAGTGCCACATCTACATGGATTTTTAACACTTCCAGGGACAGTGATTCCACCACTTCCCTGGGCAGCCTGTTCCAATGCTTGACCATCCTTTCAGTGAAAAAGGTTTTCCTAACAATCTAAACCTTCCCTGGAACAACTTGAGGCCATTTCCTCTTGTCCTGTCACTTGTTACCTGGGAGGAGAGACCAATCCCCATCTGGTTACAACCTCCTTTCAGGTAGTTGTAGAGAGCAATAAGGTCTCCCCTGAGACTCCTCCAGGTTAAACAACCACAGCTTCCTCAGCCATTCCTCATAAGACTTGTCCTTCCCCAGCTCCACTGCCCTTCTCTGGACACACTCCAGCACCTCAACATCTTTCTTGCAGTGAGGGGCCCAAAACTAAACACACAGGATTCCAGGTGCGGCCTCACCAGTGCCGAGGACAGGGACTATCACTTCAGCTGGTTCCTGTGTATTAGCAGCAATACAGAGTTAGAAGCAAAAGCACGTGCAAAGCATGAAACAGAGCCATAATGCACATAAAATTTCACTGAACTGAGATTAGTCTTCTTTGTCTTCAGTATCTCTCTACAAGTCTCCTGAGGAATGCCAGTCTGTTTGGGACTGCAAACACACTGAAGCATTAACTGCATTTATAATATCACCCATGCAAGGTAAGTCTGTCTCCCTGTTGTACAGATTTATTCTCAGTCAAAAGCCAACACATACAGCTTCTCCCAGTCGGACCTATGCCAGGACTTTTCTGACACACAGTCAACAGAACACAAATGGAAAATAGAACAGAATAAACAAGTACATAGACAAATGTTTGATTCTTGCCCTTCTAACTGGCTAATGTGTTCTTGCTTACAGGAATGCAAGGGAGGACAGAGTTGCATAGTCTTCAGTTTACAGGTCATTTAAGAAAATTTCAATTTTTTTCCTGGAGTTATCTCCATTACCTAAGAAGACAGGAATCTCTAGAAGAGGGGTTCTTTCAATGGTTTTCCTAGACAAACTGTATCTAAATGTGATCTAAAAAGCAAGAGGGAAGATTTTTATGAAAAAATAGAAAAACAATCTTCAGGCAATTAAACTCTAAACAAGCCTTGCATATCAGTGCTAAACGGTTGTGTCAACAAATCCTGAAGTTTTCACTGCTTCTGGGTAAGAGAAATAAAAGGAAGACTGAAAGCAGGAGAGGAAGCACGAGGGGAGGCTTAACAGCTACAGCACAAATCAATATGCCAGTGATAAAACACAAGACAACATACAGCTTATATCCTCCTTTGCATGTATACAGGAAGCATTACACTTCTATCTGTCTCAATATTACCATTGATCAGCTTGCAGGGAAATACTGTGTGTCAACAAAAGGTCTGCCCAGTAAACAGCAACTCTTTTAATTCTGGCTTCCCTTTAGTGATACACATAAAAAAGGAAGAAATGAGCAATCACAGAACTACTAACATCACTGCTCAGTTACCAAACCATGTCTGTTTACTATCTTGGAGCAGGAGCTAAGATGTCCTGATCAGGCATAGTATTAAGGCTTGATATAAAACCCAGATCTTCAACTCTGTGGGAACGTGGCATTGTTCATTTTGCAGAGACCACCAGGAAAAGTAGAAACTTAAGTGCAGCCCACATGCACGTACCCAAAGCAGACTCTCTCCAGTGTCAATAAAGACATTAAGCACTCTTAAATAATCTAAATAGTAACATAGACATTATTTCTCTTCCTATCTAATTTTGAGCATGTGTTATTAAGATTGTGTGGTTGGACTTTCCAAACAAAAGGTCATTTAGTAATCATAGAAAACTCTGAACCAAAATTGTGTGCAGATATTTTTAGAGAAAGCTTTGAAAGTCCAGCCAATTATCCATAAATTCTGAGCACAACCATGTGCAGTGAACTAATATAAATGTGGCACTCCAGCTAACAGTTCCAAAACAGGCATGATACAAGCTTTGTAAACCAGGCTCATCTAATCTGCTTTAGGCGATACACAAATAATGGCAAGTGGCAACATAATTAATTTGTGTCTTCTTGAACAATCAAGACTGAAGTAATGGTGACATTTATTGGTCTATCAAGACACAGGTGACTTTAGTGATTTAAAACAGTAGACAGAATTCTAAACAGTATGCTTACAGGTCATATCCATCTTCACTCCCCCATGAGCTACAAAGCCAGCCTTAAGTTTCCTTTCTGTAATTTTCATTTTATGAAAAGCCTGCTCTGAATTTTTAAGACTATCCAGTACTTTTTCATAGTGTCAGAAAGCAAAGGGATTTCCTTCAGCTGCCCCTCAAAGCACTGGAAGGTACAGCAGCAGAATATGAATACAGAACCATAGATAGGGCCTGCCAAAGTGAATTCCTTTGTACTAGGTCTGTTGTAAGCTGTACTTTTCTTTGGGAACAAAATGACACCTACTGGAACTATCCCTGCTTTGAGACTGCTTTGTGCAATTACTGACTGTGTATCCCACTGAATGTCATCAATATTAGAACTTTAGCCCTTACTGCTGCAAACCTGAGAGTTCATCCAGCATTTTATAAAGGATCTACTCTTAATATCCACATTTTTGACCAGGACCATCTGGTAACTCTCTCTACTGTAAAGACTCACTGCAGTCAGGAGTATTAAAAGACTCCTGGTATTTGTGGTTGGGCATATGCTCCTGATGCAAGGCATCTTTGAAGAACATGATATGTCAGTCGGCTTTGAAATTAGGAAGAAAGCAACTAAATAAATTATGCACACACTCCTCTTCCCCTGAACAACAAAAAAAAAAAATACACACCAAAAAACTCCAAAGCATCTTAAAAGGCATTAACAACTCCTCTACAGGAAATTATTTCAGCGTTCTTTTTTCCATTAAATAAATAGATAGATAGATCACAAAGTGTTCCCTTCAGCCTTGTGATTTCTTTATTTAGTCTTTCAAGAGAGAGTCTTGTAGAGATACATTTAAGTCTTAATCAGTACAATTGTGAGTTGAAGTGCACATGCAACTCGCTCTAAATGACTGGCATCAGTATTTTCAACATTCCCCACGCACTTCCATTAAACTGATTCTGAGAACTACCAGAACCACAGGCAGGTTGCATCTCTTCACTTGTATCACCCTCAGAGCTCTAAACTTCTTGACAGTGCAGCAAAGTAAAAATTGCTTGACCTATTTGAGCTTTCTAAGAAAGGAAAAAAATAAATTTAGACCTTTATAAGCCAGAATAACAAAATACACCTGAAAAAAAAGTACCTACTTAAAAAAAAAACAAACCAAAACCAAAAAAACCCAAACCCACAACTCTGAAAACAAACCACATCAAACCCAGAAAGCACAACAAGGACAAAGCCAAACCCAAAATTTCCACAGCTGCCATTTTATCATGATAAATCAGCAAGCTTTATAAATCACTTCAACTAATGCTTATTGTGAATAAAATTATTTATACATGCCACAGCTACCTCTTTCAGGAAAAAGCATTTGATACGTCACACTAATAACAGATGCAAAGAGTGTGCAAATGGCTTACAAGCTTTGGAATGACCACATCAGTATCAGGACATCCTAATGCTTCTTGTGGTGTCTAGGTTATATTCAACCATTAACAGAAACCCCCAAACTTCCAACACTGAAGCTTGAGAGCAGTGGTGAGCCTTAGACCTGGTGCTACTCATGAGTTGACTTGAATAATCTGCTCTTGGCTTTTTGTTACTATTTTCTTCTCAGCACCTTCATACAGCTGCTCCCATTGCAAAAAATATCTACAGTTTCATACTAATCCCCTTGATACACCTTTCCAGAGGTTGACTGTGAGAAGCAGTTCTGGATATTCCTGGTTTGTGGGTGGCGAATGGAATTATAAAAGAAAAACAAGACTCGTGGGACGAGTTTAGTTGCTATCCAGCTAACTTGGATGTATCTACAGGATTAACCAAATTAAATCTAAGTGCTTAAACTCCCTTTGCATCAGTCTGCTCTTGATCAGTTTGTGGTGGCAGTACCTTTGATTTTAACTATCTTATCACAACACATACTGAAATCACAAAAAATTGAAGTTATATATCCTATACATGGGAAGGTATTCAGATGGGCTAAGAAGATTATGAACTGAGTTCATAATTCTATGTATTACCTTGTCAGTAATACATAGAAAACAAAAGGAATATTATCAAAACATGAATGATACAAACTTTAATCCTCAAACTGCTTATCATATTGATCACTCGAACAGCAATTTCCCCACAGCACTCTCCCCACTCACACTTTTCAAGAGTTTTGAGCTCTTAACTATGGGTTCTGAATCAGCCCTAGGAGCAGCCCCCAGGCACTAACATTGCTAAGTCTGGGCACACATATACATAAAAACACTTCAGAGTATCTCCCATCAGAGGTTGTGTAGCAGTCAACATGCCAGAAGCAGCCCGCAATACCATGTATTCATGTTTCTAGAAACCAATTCTTCCTCTGTCTTTGGGATCAAAGGTGCCCCAACTGTAGGTTAAAGACAGTTTACAACCAAAAAATGTAGGAAAAAAAAGAGTAGTAATAATAGTAACAACGACAAAAAGAATAATAAATCAACATCCCTGTGACCTCTTCTTTGAGGTTTGTTCAAAAAGCACTCTTAGTCAGGGGGTTCAAGAAGAGGCAAGGATTACTACCTTCACAACCCACTTACCTACTGTACTGGTTTTGGCTGGGGTAATTTTCTTCACAGTGGCTAGTATGGGGCTACATTTTAGATTTGTGCTGAAAACCATGATAATAATATACAGATGGTTTTGTTATTGCTAAGCAGTGCTTTGGACAGCACCAAGGCCCTTTTCTGCTTCTTGAATCACCCTGATGCTGGGGGAGGACAAAAAGTTGAGAGGAGACACAGCCAGGACAGCTGACCTCAATTGACCAAAGGGATATTCCATACCATATGACATCATGCTCAGTATATAAAGGTGGGGAAAGAAGAAGGAAGAGGGGGACATTTGAAGTGATGATGTTTGTCTTTCCAAGTCACCGTTACATGTGATGAAGCCCTGCTCTCCTGGAGACGGCAGAACACCTGCCTGTCCATGGGAAGCGGTATATGAATTCCTTGTTTTGCTCTGGTTGCATGTGTGGCTTTTCCTTTACCTATTAAACTGTCTTTATCTCAACCCATGCGTTTTCTCACTTTTACTTCTCCCATTCTCTCCCAAGGCCACTGGTGAGTGAGTGAGCAGTTTGCATGGGGCTTAGTTGCTGCCTGGGGTTAAACCACGACACCTACTTATTTCATGTAGGAAAATCTTATTTTGCCTATGCTGCACCCAGTACAGCATTTTATTTATCAAATATTAATTGTTCTGTAATAATACCTGAGGCAATCACTCTTAGCTCACAATAAGCGTTCGGGAACTGCCTCTTCCTTTCATGTGGACAGCTTGACAGAAAGACTTACTTTGTGTTTGTACCTTGCTAAGTCCTTCTGACATGATTTCATCTAGAAGAACAGCTATCTCTTGCTTTCAACAAACATGCTACCAGAGAAAGATTACATTCCTGGCATCACTCAGCAGCACAAATTTCATCTGTAGCATGTGAGCACAATGTCACCTTTCTGCTGACTTTGCCATAGTACGTACAAAGCATTTAAACCCTCTCTCCATCTGCCAAGAAACAGTGAGCCCTGTGCAACTTCCATACAGCTCCCTGGACCAAGTTTGGATGAGGAGCATGAGGATATTCTAGTGCTTCACAACTTGTATCATGCAGCATCGTGCTGCTGATCTATCAGGTACATAAAAACCAGATCTACCTCCCCGTGAACTCACAGCCTTCCTGTGAAAAACAGTCAATGGATCCAGTTCCAACCCCTACAAATTCTGCATTGGGGTTTGTTTGGGGTTTTTTTGTTTGTTTAACCCACTGTCACATTAATGCTTGACAGGATTTTTTTCACTACCATGTTAATGCATCCTGCCTTATTCAGCACTTACTAAGGTGCCTTTACCACTCCCATGTGAAAAAGTTAACTGGAAAATAACCAAGAGAATTCATTTTAGCTCTATATAGTGACAATAACAATCCAACAAAGACCAGATGAAGTGGTCATAACTCTCAGTAGACAAGAAATCTCATCAATAATCAGCATTAATAATATTTAATAATTCTGCAATTCTAGATTCTACATCCCCAGCTTCAAACAGAAAAACATGTAGATTTAAAATAAAAAAAACTTTAAAATCAACATCCTCATTCTTTAACTGTTCAAATCAAACTCTTCCCAAAAGCAAGTGCTTGACTGTGATAAAGGACAAGTGCAAGCGTAATACTTAGAAATCAAGGAGCACACTTAGGAGCTTTACCTGACCAAGAGATCTCCACCACATTCCAGAGCTAAAAGAAAGTAGTACCTGGAATTCAATGCAAGATTACTGCAAAGCAAATACACCTTTATTTCTTCTTTTCTTGAACACAACCACCCTTTAGTTTCTTTTCCATCTTTATTTTTTCTACACATTAGCTGACTGAGAGCTGAGGTCTACTACAAATATGTTAACCCTATCTTCTGCTCCAGAACAGAAAGAAGTGTCAATGCTAACAGACAGATTGGTCACTAACAGATTACCGTAGATCTTTTTTCTCTGAAGGGATGTCAAAAAAAATGTGAATCTAACTGTAGGCAAAACTACTGCACAGAATAAATTACAGTCTAAATCTGAATGATCAAAGCATATTTCAATTTGGATAACTAAAATGATGTAAGCACAGACATAAGCCCGAATTCCATGCACAATTATACAAATTGTGCATTCAGATGTGGGAACTGCATAGGCTAAGAGTTCCCATTTGCAGTTACAGTTTGGGTGCAACTCTAGTACTCAGTGGAGAGCTGACTTTTTCAAGTGGACAACATAGAGGAAATTCATGAAATTAGCAAGATAACCTACACAAAGAAAGAAAATACAGCCAACTATTCTTCCAGTAGAAAAATCTTGCTACTGCAGGACAGGCCACTTAGAAAAATCACAAGACTTTGCTTCCTGGGGCTAGAAGAAGTGGAAAGCTGAATGGAATTAACCTTGGTGCTATTTTGGGAAAGGTGCAAATAATCTTCTTGTCTGTTGACTGCTTTGACAGCACCCCTTCTTTCCCTTGCAGGTTGACACTACTTTGCAGGAACCGCTCACACAGCCCACCTCCTACTGTGAGCAAAGGATTCAAGGATGAAACAGAAACAGCAGTGAAGCTAAATTCTGAGAAAAAGGAGTACAAGTGTTTCCTTGCACAGGTCTCACAGATATCCTGAAGTCTGCTTGATCTCTAAAACTGGTAATAAGCTTGGACTATTTTCTTTATCAGTTCTCTACAAAAGTGTTACAGTCTTCATTACTTTGATATAGCACATCTGAAAGCAAAGAGAAAAGCAGAAAATTGCAGTGAAATGCAGAGTTTTGTTTTTACCTGGCATTGGCTCCTTTAAGGTCACAGAAGTGTGAGAGTAAAGCTTTCACTACATCATTGCAGACAACTTTAACTACATCAATGTGACTCAGCCTCTGTCGCAGCTGCTTGGCAATCTCCCAAAAGTCTTCAGATAGCAGCTGGTACAGCTGCCCTTCATCTCTGCTGAGTTGCCCATACCAGGACAGGATGTAATCTCTATAGCTGTAGTCGAACACTGAAAGGAGAAACAAAACAATTAATAGCAAAAATTGCAAAATTAGAAGGCACACCCAGATAGGAAAAATATAATCCTCCACCTTTCTCCTCAAAAACTGGATGGGTAATAGGCTTCATATCTAATTTTGGGTTTTAAGTTCTTGCCAAAGAAAGTAAGGTTGGTGAGGTTACAGCAATCTGCACCTAACAGGTTACTGGAGGTCACTTTGCAAAGCAAAGCCTGTAAGTGGATTTGCTCAGACAGTCAGGTTACCAGCTACACACAAACCTCAGACTGTCTCTCAACTGTGGCTTTATATGTGGTTTTATGAACTATCATATAATCTGACTGTGGCTAAGCTGTTGCAGACTGAAACTAGCCTTCAACAGTCTCCAAGGTTGCAGTTAAAAGGGCAGGTGGTAAGATTCTTGTATTTCAAAAGACATATAACAACCCCAGAAAAGTACATTACAGGATCAGAAAAGCTAAAAGCGAACAAGTAGATTACTGAGACTACATGAACTTCAAAACTGATGAAGCATTCCAAATCATATCTATAGGCAACCACCAAAATTACTGTAATTTCAAGTCCCATGGCAACACCATCTTCTACCATTATGACTTTTCTTTCAGATAACATTTGTGTGTCTATTTATCAGTTTTTACTGATATTTCACACTAGCAGATGTCCCTGGAGGTATGAGAGGAAGAAGGACATGTTCAGAGAGCACGCATGAACTGTGTTTAGCAGTTACAACAAGATAAGGAAAAAGCTGGGGTTGCAAGAGTCAATTTGCATCTGCCAGAGGGATAATAAAAAAGGGGGAATAAAGTTGTATGCCTGATAATCTGAGCAGCTTCTTTACCAGATATCCTGATGTTTTCATGACTTTTTATATCAAAAGTACACCTCACCTGTCAATGTAAGCCTGCAGTACAAAGTAATTATATGACTCCACTATTTCTTACTTTCCACTTTGATAGAAGTTGTTTGTTTGGCAGTTTACTGAACTATTAAAATTTCCCTGGCACTGTGAAAGTGAACTATTAGCACACTAATAGAACAACAACTTAAACTGAATACTTTTGCCTGCCTTTTCAGGCAAAACTAGCAAACCTCATCCAATATCACCTTGCTAAACACATTTCAAAAGAAATGGCTAAAATTGATAACAGTTTCCAGCCAAATGCTTCATAAATCAGCTTCCTCACGTTTATAAAGAAAGCAGCCAAGTCACTTCAATGAGTATGTTAAAATATATAGTTAAAAGCCTTTTGCTAAGTCATTTCAAGGCTTTTTAATTAATAATTCAGAAAAAAACCCCCACAGTTCAATAAACAAATAAATAAAATGTTTGAAGTATTTATTCTTTTTCCTGATCTAGAAGAGAAAAAAATATGCAGAGCCATATTGCAGGATGGGAGCTTTCAATATTGAAACATATCCCATTGCATTACTTTTCTAAAATAGAAGAAATCATATTTCATTGAAAACTCTCACCTGCAAATACTACAAAGTGATGAAAACAGTTATAAAAAGTAGTGATCTCCTGATAAGCAAGGTGAGGAATAATCCATTGATACACCAAAGAGCAACTGGGAACAGCATTTTAAAAACTGAAGTTTTTTTTATTTATCTCAAGTCTCCCATTGCAATACCCATTTTAGGTATCTAGTTTTCCACAGTGATCCTCATGTCCTTCTGCAGACATCTTTTTCTTATAGCTTAGTTACTCTCTTCTGTTGCAAGATCCTAAATGCTGTAGAAAGCTGACCACAGCACAAATTCTTCCTTTTCACCTACTCTGTAAGAGACCAGTAATTTCTCAAGCACATTCAAAACTCACTGCATTGTGGGATTTGCTATCATCATCACTGGCAATTAATGACTTTTTCAGATTTTCCTACAGACACCCTCTCTACCTTTTGCAAAGTAGCAGATTTCTCCAGCATCTTTTGCCTAAGAAGACAAGCCATGCATGGAGAAGTGGCTCCTACAGATGTCTACTCAACAGAACTCTACAAAGCAAGACTACAAGATACAAGAACAAAACTTATATCCTGATCCCTTAGACTATATTATCTTTCAGAACGCTACGTATTCCAAATAACTCTTAATTTATAACTCTGTTTCTAAGCAATTCCTCCCCAAAATGAACTCAGTTTCTAGCACAGTACATAATACACATTTTTTGATTCATTTTAGCCACTCATGACTTCTGTCACATTCAATGGTACATCTCTGTACTCTAGGAAAGTACAACATTCAAACTAATTAGAACTCTTATATCAGAGTACAACTCCTGCAACTTTACTACACCCCCAACTGAAACACCCGAAGCAAGATCTATTATGGTGGGAAGACTCCTGCTCAAACAAAGCAAGGCGACACCACTTTAAACCATATTTTCCTGCACCTATCTTTTATAACCCTCTTCCTTTACATGCTTCCTATAGTTTCCTTGTCACTTCTGAGCCTTCCTGCATCACAACAGTGCTGTTCTCTACAAAACTCAGGGTTCTTTAGAGCCCAGAATATATGCTCAAATAAGTGGTGAGACGACTTTGTTTAAATAAATCAATAATATTTAAAAAGGACACCAGCCACAGACACTAACGGCAGTCTGTTTAAGACTGAGTAAGACACTGCCTCATCCATATGTATAATCCTGGCCATGGTGCACAGTTGCTGCTTTAGTTTCACGCCCATTGATGCAGCTGGTGCCTTTTTCAGCACTCTAAAGAAATACAGAAAACAAATGTAGGCATTTTATAGAGAGCAGTTTGCTTCCTTCAGAGGAGAAATCTGCTCATGCATCTATTATCATTATTTTTATACAGCACGTTCTCTAAAACATAGAAAACAACTGCTCAGAAGACAAGCAAGGAATGAAAAAGAGAAGCAGAACACATTCAGGACAATACCTTACTATGACTAACTCATTCACTACAAACATAAAACAAATTTCTTATGATAACCATTAAATGCAGTGACCACCATGAGTCTGGTGCAAAACTGTAGAAACTTCTATTGGGTCTTCTAAACTAGTTCCTGAGTTGTTATGATGTGATTAAAAGTCATTCCCACGTGAATTTGAAGGTGAGTCTCTTCAATCAGTCTTTTAAATACTGTGAACTAAAAGTGTTGGGAGTAGAGAGTCAGAAGCTTGTGTAGAGGTTTAGTGAGCACTCCCATCTAGATTCTTCCTTCATTCCTACTCCCACACAGGTCCTACAGTAACTGCTATCCCTTCTAACATATTCATTCATTCAGAGGTTCAGTGGTACAGCAAGAGTTACCTGGTCAGACTAGCTTCAGATCTGCAAAACTTCACACTAGATGGTTTTTATGCTGCTAAGATTCATTACCCAACTTTATTAAAAATAACATAAAAATCTGAAGAACAAGGATTAAATACCTACTCTTTTTCTCAAAGCAGTATTAAAAAACAGAGCATAAATATTCTCCCTACTCAAGTGTAATCACAGACTTCCAAGTTTCAACAAGAAGTAAATATCCTTTCCTGAAAGCACTGGACAGGCCAGAAAAATTAGATCCAAAACTCTCCTGTGACTGTGTAAACAACAGAAGAGAAGGTATAGCTACAAAACTGGATTCTAGAGCAGCAAGCATTGCAATCTGTAAAAGTAAAATGCAAGGTTAATATGGGACACTGCCCCAGTCACTAGCAACAGTAATTTAAAGATTTCAGTTCTCTTGTTAAAGTTTGTGTTTGGAAAACCACTAGTATTTCTTGGTTTACTTGTATTTTATGACATTATTCAAACCCTATGAAAATGCCATGTTAACAGTCTAAATGTTATGATTGTGTATAGGTAGATGGGCTCTGTGCAAAAGCAATCATACCCTGACAGTCCATCCCACATTCTTTATTTTTATTACAATTTCCTTGACATTTGTGTCTTTAATAATTTTTACGAATGTGAAGGGTAAAAAAAATGAAATTTTCCAAATAGATAAAAAATAGAGAAAAGTGTTAAAAAGATCTAGGTAATGTATAAAATAAAAAAAATCAGACAAGCTCATGTCCAAATAGTTTTCCACATGTACCCTTTGTGAAGAGTTTTTAGCTTTCAGTGTTTGAATCCCAGTGCAGAGAGAACAAATTCAAATTGTCTTGCTGATATTTTGGACCCAAAAAAATAATTTTTTGAAAGCTGTGAGGAAAAAAAGCCCAGATTTTCACATAAAGAGTGGAAGAAGCTACTTCAAATTTTCATCTAAATGCCAACGTGTGGATCTTAAGTTGGGAAATGAGACAGTCTAGGAAAAATCTTCTTCTGTAAAGGGAAGTACTCCCTTACATCCCTAAGAGAGTACTTCTAAGGGGTCAACACAGACAGGCAAGATCTGATCCTTAGGAACAATCTAATTAAATTCCCAAAATATTTCCAATGAGGTCACCTCAAGACAGGGTTGAAAGACAATAACCCAGTATGAAAGGAGAGATGGCTCTCTGGCATGAAAGATTTTAAGAGCTAAGAAACACAGGGGAATTTTCACAGCAGAACAATTTCACCAGTGGAGTTCTGTTGGGATCTGTGCTTTGGCCTGTCCTGTTTTACTTACACATAAATGACCCAGTAAAGCAGCTAAGTGATATGAAGACCAATTTTCTCGGTACGACTACAACAGTAGAGACAAAGACTGACTGTGAAGAATAACAAAGACCACAAGATGTGGAGCAATAAAAATGGAGGGTGAAGTTCAGTTCCCAGGAGACCCACTACACTCAAGGCAGACAAATTTACTGACAGCTACAGCCTTCACCCAAACAGTATGCTGTGCAACAGCAGCACAAGTCTCACTGAGCACAGTCTCTCTTAGGAGACGTTATTACCACACTACCACACGATATGGGCTGAAAACAGGAAGTGACCAGACAAGCAACAGGTAGCGTTAAATGGCTAAAAGTTTTTGTAGACATGGGTTATCTTTTATTTTTGTAAAATAAATGAAGGGCAAACAAGAATCAAATCAATCTATCAAGAGAAAGCATAAAAATTTTCGGACAACCATATTTCAGTGTCAGTCACTCAAGCATCACCAGTTGAAAAAGGCATTCAGGGCTGACAACTAAAAGGCCTTTTCATTTTGCCATATTCAACAAGGAAAATCTCTTCATAACATTACACTTGTTCTGATTTTGAGCACTTAGACTTCATAAAACACACCACAGAGTAGCAGGGTTAATTCACAGCTTTCCCTCACCTAGTATAGTTAGTAATTAACAGTGAACCCCAGGCAAACTTAATTACACAATGGCGAAAAACAGAGGAAGAAGTCAGAATTAACCAAAGGGCTGTCTCTCTTCATACCCAGCAACAGCAAACAGATGATGCTGGCTCTTCCAAAAATGTTATCCATGCGTCTCTAATGTGCATACCTAAAGAGAAGTAAAACCTGATTCAAAAGAAAAAAAAAAAGAGCAAAACCTCATTGACTGTGGTAATCTGACAACACCTACTCTAAACCTGAAGTGGCAGTAGGAGTCTGAACTGTTCCCCAAGATTAAAACCTCATGAGAACTCAAAGTCTCCTGGCTAAATGAATGAGGCATTTTGAAGCATTCTGTTGAACAGCATGTTACCTCACTCAAGACAGCAAAAGTTATCCAAAATTCCTAGGATTTATAAATACTTTAATCCTGATCTGTGCAAGACTGAAAACAGAAGAGCAGATGGTATTTTTTACATCAGTGGTAATAAAGTTTTACTTAACCATGAACTTGTATAAAAAACAAACAAAAAAACCCATTCACATCGAGACAACTGCAAATTTCAAAACTGTCACAGGGCAAGAAGTCCTGTCTATTTTCAAACAGACAGATCACTTACTCTAATAAAACATTAAAGTATTGCTTTTGGGATTCATTCAGTATCTCAAACTTAAGTTGACTCAGTCACCTTCCAAACCCAAAATGCTTGCTTAAGTCTTTGTATGGCAGAGCAAAAAGAACAGTCTCATCTTTGTCAAACTGCATAACAGAGAAGTTGGATTCATCACTTAGGCCTGGAAGAAATACAACGAAATCTGACAAGTTTGCTCTCCAAAATTCAGAGTGGGACTGGAGGGTAAAAGCTAGTTTGAAAAAAAAAAATAGCAGAAAGGCAAGTGAGCTGTCACAACAGAAGGTACTCAACTCTGAAAAGTGAATCATTTACATATTAGTAACTTTCAGCCTTACTGAGTAGGGATGGCCTCACACAACCAACTGAATGATCTGTGGGATAAACACCTTAGATGAAGACAGCTCCTATATTTTAACAGACATGAGTTACTCCTACATGCAAGTAACTGCAGGGAAGTGTAATATGACTGTCTTTCCCTCTATACTCCACAATACCTGTTGTCTGTCTCCAAATAACCCCACAACTTCCAATTCTGTGATTACGTCAAGGCTTCATTTCAAATTCTGAGGCAGGTTATCCAAAACGTAAAGTATACATGTGAAAGAATACTGCAAATAACTTGTCTGTGCTTGTTTCATTACATATTTCTAAACATGTAATGTTTAGACTCTACTATCCTTTTCACATGACCAGGAATCCTCTAGTCTGATTCCAGATGAAAATGTTTCCTAAAAATAAATTATAATTATGTTATAATAGTTCACCTCCACAAAATCATGACATGGGTAAGTAAAGTGTTCTAATTTTATATTTTAGTTACCTATTCTGCAAACAGCTATTCATAAAAATAACTTGAAAAACATAACACATCCCAGGTTTTCGTAAGACAACCAACCTGTTTAAAGCAGTGATAATTTTCAAATATACTCTCAAAGATAAGAAAAAGTGCTGCAAAGAAATGTTAAAGGAAAAAGTATTCAAAATTAGATAAAATATTTACAAAAGGCTGATAGACTGTAACAGCCAAAAATCCATATGTTCATTATAAATTCACTTTTTTATGGCAAGAATTGCACTAAACAGGAAGACTGTATGCAAGAGTTTACAGGATTTATCAGTTCAGCAAAACCCAATCAAGAACATTTTAAATGTAACCCCCTTCTTTTGTGCACAAATACTAAGGACTGTATTTTAACATATTTCTGTTAAAAAAACAACAAAAAACCCCAGCCACTAAAATAATGAGATATCAACTGAATTGCAAAAACATCATCATATTACTTACTACAGTGGACCTCTTGGGAAGACTAAGACCTTGCGCTTTGTGTATTATATCACAGAGGAAACCAGGGTCATATTCTAAAATCCTGGAATACTGTGCAGTTATGGTTCGCTAAGATGACAAGAGATATTCAGACTCCAATGCACCTTTGACCAAGTTAAGACTCACCTTCTTTCAGTGCTTTATCCATATTGTGAGAAATAACCACTCTCCTTGATTGGACTGAATCATGGGAGCTTCCAGACCAATTACTCTGAAATTCAAACATAACATTCATCACAAGAGAAAGGAATAAACCAAAACTTTCAGAAGGAATAAAACTGGAATTCAAGGCAATAGTACTGTATCATTTGGTCTTTATACAAACATTGTCATTCCACGCAGTTAACACAGAGGAGTGTCAATTATCTCTGAGATTATTATACATAGTTCATTAAGCTCATATTAACACTCACTGTTATGTACAACTTGCCAAATTATCTTAATAAGGTTTTTTTGGTAGAAGGGAGCTGTATTTAGTTGCAATTCAATGTACTGAGAATAGGACATGCATGTAACAGAACAACTGGAACTCCTCCATTCAGTATTTTCACAGCAAATACAACATATTCATAGCCTACCGTGACAATAGACTTCATCTAGCCTCATAAACTACTTTTAAACCAAAGAGAAGCCTTCAGATCTCCCACACTAATTTTGGTTCACATCCTTTTGGGTTTCTTCCTTCAAAGATACTTCCAGCTGCTGCATTTTAAGCTGCTGTCCTACACAAACATCTGTCTGTATTGGAGTACTCACTCTTACCGTGTCCAAACAGGTGGGCAGAAGGAGAAACATTTTTCAGAGTGTAGACAAAGAGAGTGATTCATGCTCTATTTACATAGAAAGGAGTGTAATTCAGAACAAATAGAAATGGTCCCTGCTGTTGCCCAGCTTACTTTGCTCCCCTTGTTGGGAGCCCAGATTTTCTTTGGTAAGGAGATAACACTTCAGAAATATCTCCATCTCTCCAACATTCACCAAATAGAGAATAAGAAAGCAGTATAAACTTCAAGTAAAAATGCTGTTTAATGTTCTTAAAGGTAATACACCATTATTTTAGCCAATTTGCAGGCTAATTCTCAGTGTATTTTGGTAAATATGTTTTTCTCCACTGCAGAACAAAGCTCATCTAATGGGATCCAAATAAAGGAGTCTCAGCACTACTTTTAATGGCAAAACAAAGCTTTTCAGAGTCACTCACATTTAACACACAGCATTGTGATGGATCCTTTCCAGGCCTTGAGTGCCCTCCTTCTGCCCACAGTTGATTTGTTCCAGCTTTTGAGTGAGTGCAGCAATACTCCCTAGACTTCTTCCAGCCACCATTCTGAGACTATAACTGCGGTCTTTCACCTGATTTCTTCCCTCCTTGGCAACACTATCAGCACACTTGCCTCCATTTACAGTCCCTCCTTACTACCAAAACTATAGTTAAAGAGGGGTAAGAACAGAGTATTTAGTGAACCATGAGAGATTTTCAAGCCCTTTTTTACCTGAACACAACTCTGGTAAAAGCTGAAGCCATATCCATCTAAACAGTTGCAGAAAGTATTTTTGCTCTTTGTAAGAACACCTAACAGTATTTGTAAGGCTCCAAGACATAACCTCTAGCTGCTAATGTTGTCACACTTCCTCAACACAAAGTTGTGTTAATGCCAGTCACACAATTACTTCAGGATTTTTCTGCTTTATTTGCAGCAGGAAATCACATGATTCATAACCACTCCAATTTAAAAAGAGAAGAGACAGACTCATAGAGACATTAAAGACCCCAAATAAATTAGGGGAGCGGGAAGGGATTCAGAAAGCCCAATTAAGCAAACTCAGGTTTTTCTGTGAAGAAAGAGCTCCCAAACATGAGGCCACAATTCTGACCAAAGTTCTGTGCTCAACACACTCCATCTTCCTTAGCACTCACGCTAGCTTGGGTATCCCACAAGCTAAATCCTTCTGCTAGAATGCATCACACCTGCATAGAGGTCGGTCACCTCAAACAGCTAACTTAGGCATCAGCAGTTCTCATTTGTAAATATGTTGCAGGGAGCCCTTCAGAGGGGATCTGGGGATCTATGCTTGCAAGAAGCTTGCTCCACATCACTACACTATGATCCAATCTACACATTTCCACAAAGCAGGAACTGATCCACTTTATGCTTCAAACTTGAACACTCATTTTGAGGACAAGGCAGACTACTACTGCCTCAGCAAAATGCTGCCTCTTAAATACCAAGATACAAACTCACATCTCAGCTTGCAAAAACAGATTCCATTGAGAGTGTCCTCTATGGTTCGTATGTTTGACTTCTAAAAGGCATGGACTATTCATTTAAAAAGAGTTGTTCAAGACATGATCAAAGAGAATGTAAAAGGTAAAAAGTGAATACCACGACTAGCAATGGTGATTTTGCTGCTGCACGAATGTAATTACTGCAGGGCAAAGGAAGATGCATAGTATAGCAGATTTTCTGAGAACTTCCCATAGGTATTGCATACAGTCATGAACTGCTGAAGAGAAAAGCACAGAACAATAAAAAAAACCCTTTGTTTAAAACAAGGTTTCAACTTCATTAAAAAATAAATTTTCAAGAAAAAAGAAGAATCTAATATTTGAATAAACAGGGATGTTCAAATACATTGGAGTGATCATAGAATTGTTTAGGTTGGAAAAGACTTATAAGATCATCGAGTCCAACCATTAACCTATGATATTGGTTGGGTTAGTTCAGGCTTAAGAAAAAAAAAACAGTTCAGGGAGACCTCACCACTGACTCCAATTACTGAATGAGAGGGGACAGAGATGAGGGAGCCAGAGTCTTCTGGCAGATGCACAGGACATTAGGAAACATTGCAACACAGGAATTCCCATCACAAGGCAAAACTATTTTAATCATGAGGCTTGTCAAGTATCAGAATGGGTGTGCTGAGGCTGTAGAGTCTCCATCTCTCTATTCTTCTCAGCAGGAGAAAACCCTGAGCAACATTACCCAACTGGACTCGCTCTAAGCAGGAGGGTGGACTAGGTGCCCTCCAGACATTCCTTCCAACCTGAACATATCATGATCCCTGATGGCCCTTCAGAGAACTGTAAATTTAATTTCATGACTGATAATGCATCAGATCTTAAGCTGCCTTGTCCAAAACAGCTTATCAAACTCATTTTTCCTTCACATTTTATGAACTTGCATTTAGCAAAACCAAGTCTCAAGTCTTTTTAGTTTAGATTTGGTTTCAAAAAATTCTGTTTCTGTGGCAATAATAATGATGAATTAATTAAATAAGCAGGTATCCCTGAGTTAGATAATATGTATGGCAACAAACACCTTAAAACAACAGTAACAACCTGGTAACACAGATATTCAACATCTGTGAAAACAGAAGGATTCCAGAAAATTCATAGTCCAAACTCAGCTCTAACAGCTGAGAGAACGAAAAACTCAACAGATTTCACTGGAAGACTTTCTTCCCACTCCTGCCTCAAATCTGATGGAGGGCATATGCAGAGAACAGGTTCAGCTAGAAAACCTAGATGTGAATGTTTTCACATTTTCTTCACGTCACTCATCTAAAGGAAAATGGTGCTAGATTTCATTAAGTAATTGGCATAACCCTGACTGAGCCAAAAATGTTTGTAAATGCATTTAATACAGTCAAAGCTCTAGCTTAGATGCTCTTTTACACTGATTAAAACCTGGCATGTTCCTCTAAGTTCTGCCTTGCATTATCACAGCCTCCAAAAATTTTTAAAAAAATATATTTTTTTTTTAAATTTGGGCTCTACTCTGTAGACTTCATTGTTGAAGATTGGCAAAAACCTGGCTGAAACTTAAACAACATTTAACAAAAGGCTTGCAGGAATAGGGGTGGAGCACATTTGGTACATGCTAAGAATGAGGTTGCTAACAAACATGGAGGCCTATTTCCTGGAGCAGTGCAAGTTTTTTTGACTTTGTTTACAGGCTGAAAAAAGGATGTGTGCATTTCCTGTAGACTTCTGAACAACATTCATTGTTTGATACTTTTGAGAATAATTTAAGATGCACAAAACAGTCTCAATGGGCCAAGAATAAAAGCCAAAACCACCAAGGCTAGCATTAATCATGAAATTTTGTCTTAGGTTCAGTCTCCTACAAATGCAAAAATTAAGTTAATATCATAATGTCAATGTTTAAACAATTTAAGTAATTTAAAATTAGTTCTGAGGAAAACAATAAGTGTTAAATAATAAAGAATTAAGAAGATATTTCAACAACTACACTCAATAAATGGCAAAACACTGAGAACACAGGAGTACCTTCCACTATCAAGAAATCCATCTGCAACACCTGGTCATCAAATGCAATGTTTAAAACATAGCAGCAGAAAGCCAGACAGCTGCTACAGGCATGCCACATGCAGCCTTACTCTGCCATGGAATTAAGGCAAGAAGCAGAGAAAAATTTACAATTATTTCTATTACATTAACTCAATTACAATAAAACTAGAACAGAGCTCAGGACACATCCCACAGTACAAATGGGCATTGTGCATGAGATTCTTAGTCTAACCACTGATCTAAAAGGCAAAGACTGCATCTAATTCAGCATACAGGAACCATCCAGTTACCAATAGCTACTTGCTCCACCCACTGTTGCCCTACTAACTTCCCTCTTATCTTTGTAAAACGTACATTAACATCAGACTGGACCTTGATGACAATGTCACAGCTTCAAACAATACTTCACTGAACTCTCCATAAATTAGTCTTTAATTGATGTGGTGAGACGTGTTCTTAGAGTAGCAAATATTACTTCAACTTAAGATGAAAAAATAAATTTTCTATTCACAAGACAATATTTTAAATTAATACTTCCAGTTCTATTTAAGATTACAAGGCAAGTATGTATGTGTCACATTAAGCATTAATCTACATATATTAAGGGATACCATAACTACCAATTTAAAAATCAACATACTTAAAGCATATTAATCCTATTATCTTAAGAATCATTATCTCAGTAATCATGTTATGATATCATCACAACTTATTTCCACTAACATAGTAGCTTCTGGAACACGCAGATTGTGGTTATTTGATGGGAATTTTCTGTCTTAACTGTACTGTGTTCAAAACTGGTAAAACTGTAGCAGTGTAAAAACTTTATAATTCGGGCAGAACTCTCTTCATCTGAGATTTCATATAATACCAGACAGATAAGAATAGGAAAATGAAAC